TACCGGGGATCAAACTCAGAACTTCCCGCTTGCAAGGCAGGCGGCAGAACCGAGCTAAATCCCCCAGCCCTAAAATGGCTTTTCTTAAATTTCCTAATCATAGAAGAAAATTTAGTTTACTATGGAAGAAAATATCATCTACCATGTTCTCAGAAAATAATGTCATCTACTACATATAATGCAATACATTTAACAGAATGTTTCTAATCACCCCAGTAGACGGACAAGTTGTACTTTTTTTGATTTTTTGAGACAAGGTCTCACTGGGTAGTTTAGGCTGGCGTTGAACTCAGTATGTAGAACTCACACTTACAGCGATCTTCCTGCCTTAGCCTCCCGAGTCCTGGGATTATAGGTATGTGCCACCACACCCAGCTAAGTTATTTTAAAAGAAGAAAACTGAGGCTCGAAAGAGTCAAGCTTAAAATTTGCAGTCACATAGCTAATAATCAGGCAAAACAGAAACTCAAACCCATTCAATGTGACTTGCTGTCCTGCACCCACCAAGTACTATACCTCTCATTGCTTTGAGTCATAAAAAGAACACTACACTTCCCTCTTAATTTGCATATCTTTCTTACATAACTCTGGCAATACTGTCATAGTATATTTTAAAAATAATTTAATTATATACAAAAATAACCCAAAAAACCTTGTCATGAAAAGATAACTCTTTCAAAGGCTAAATTGCAAATATTAAATTAAAATAAGCTAATGGAAAGAACATTTTAATAGCAGTTAGTGGATGCAGTTACTAAATGATGATGGCAGTAATTAAACTGCATCATTTTTCTGGTTTGCCAAATAGTAACTAGTGAGGAGGATATCTACAAAGTATTTTAAATGTTTCCAAAAGAATTACAACCATTATTTAAAGAATGAGTAAATAGTTGGAATATAAAGTATACACAAAGAATCAACAGAGATGACGACCTGTCAGGTTAATTTACCTCCAACCAAGCCAACATGGAGCACATGATAAAGTCCCATTCACTCTCTGCCAGAGGAGATGAGCAGTATTTCAGAAACAGGCAAAGGAACTGGATTATTTCTATATTTACACCCAGTACCTCTGGACTTGCTTCTGATAGATTACTGTGATAAAGATAAAAACAAAATAAGAAAAATTGAAAAAATATTAAACAATTATAGTGACCTTAGAAAATATTCCATTTTAAGTCACATAAATGACTAACTTAAATATCTACCATCCTACAAAATTTTGACTATAACATACATAATATGGGTCCACATTAGATACAGGGAGGAACACAGAAAAAGTATCACCTACCAACTGAAAAGAAAAATATCTTCATGTTCTTTTTTCCAGGATATTATAATTTTTAATATACCATGTAGTAGTTCTCCATCATCAATACTTCTGGTTTGCAGGCAAGAATTAAAAATGGCAAGATGCCCAAAACCTCCTAAAGTAAAATTCAAAATGAAAATTTAAAAAAACTTTTTAAAATTTTTACAAATTATATTGTTATTATAAATTTTAATAACTCCACAGAAGAGAGACCCTTCCTCCATACCCAGCACTTTAGTACAAAACAGGAAATTAGTGGGAAGTGGGACCAGACTAAATGATGTGCTGTTTTATATACAGTACATATTTGTACTCAACTCTCTAAGAACAGTAGAAAAGCACGACTATAGAGTACAAAGCTAAATAAGGATGGAAAATAGAACATATTATTCTATAATTCATGTACTCTCAAAAAACATCTATCCGGGGCCAGGGATTTAGCTTAGTGGTGCCACTGCCTGCCTCGCAAGTACAAGGTCCTGAGTTCAATCCCAGGTACCAAAAAACCCCAAAAAAACAAAAAGCAAAAAAACAAAGAAAAATCTATCTGGCAAGCCCTTAAGAGTGCACACCCTTTACAATCGCACCATTTCTCAACATCTGTCTTCTAGTGCATCTCCCACCCTCTGTCTCTAATGCCAGCCAAAAGGAACTACCTGCACGCTTGTATGAGTTTGTGTCCTCGGAATGCTTTCTCCCTGCTATGTCTGCATGTAAAGCTATCCTTCCACACCTAGCTGAACTATTTCTCTTTGTGAAACTGCCCGACACCCTCAAAGCAGAGGAAGCTCCTTCCTTTCTGCTATGTCCATCATAGCACACTGTTTTGCTACATCAGTTATGAAATGAGGTAACTTTATGTCTGTCTTCTCTACAACAGAAACTGCCATTTCCAAGTATTGTTTGTATTAAATTAATAAATACATAAACAGGGTACGGAATTCAAAAAAGTTCCATACACTGCAAACACTCTCCTATCCCTTCTACTTGTACACATTCAATCACTGGTCAACTAGGGAAAATGAGGCACAGCTTTAAAAAGTTATAGGAAGAAAAGAAATAAGCAAAGGGTATTTATAGGTAAAAATCTTCACTTGAAGCATTTGTGTACTACAAAATAATAGCCACATCTTCAGGTACACTCACCCTAACAATTGTCAACTTATTTAACAAAAGTATAAATAGGAACAAGTAAGTTATAACTCCATTTATCTCTGCTACCACCGGTTTTACATATTAGGAAACACTTCTTTCACCTCAAGGCAACAACTGAATTAGTGAAATACTTATTATCAGGCAACTAACCATTAGTACTGCAAAGGTCTTCCTTAGTCCAGCCCAAAAGAGCAGGTATACATTGAGAACTGAATTCTTTCTTTTCTTCTTTTGATAAAAATGGACAGAGACTTTGAATGGTATGTAAATTACCTTCTGTTAGTGGAAAGAAACTGTTTAAAGGAAAAATATGAATATTTATATCTGCAGTTAGTTATGCATACAATTCTCTTTATTCTGACTATTCAAAAGGACTAATAAATCCACTCTATAAACCACTTGTATAGAAAAAATAAGATATTCTAACAAAATGTACAACTACACATTTTTGATAAAATTTTAGTTTTTCTTTTTCCTCTTTTGTACATTTTTCTAATTTTTGAAATGACAATATATAACTTTTCCCATATAATTTTTAAAAACTGTAACAGCAGGCTAAATGTATGGGTCAGTGGCACAGCGCTTGCCTAGCTTGCATGAGGTCCTCGGTTCAATCCACAGCACTAAAAACATGTGTGCATGCACACGTGCGCACACACACTAGCAATATGTAATTATGCTGTTTAAGTTAGTTGATTCAGCCAGGTTAGTGGTGCACACCTGTAATCTCAGTACTCTGGGAGGCCGAGACAGAAGGATCACAAGATCAAGCCCAACCTGGGCAACTTTGTGACTCAGCAAGACCTTGTCTCAAAATAAAAAATACAAAAGGCCTGAGGATATAGCTCAGTGGGAAGGCCCTAGGTTCAATTCCCAGTATGTCAAAAGAAGAAAAAAGGGCCGGGGATTTAGCCCAGTGGTTCTGGCACCTGCCTCACAAACGCAAGGTCCCAAGTTCAATCCCTGGTACAAAAAAAAAAAGCAGTTCACTTAATTTAAACAGCACCAATTATATGTCATTGAATTGATATTCATATATGTATATGTATATATATGAGTCATGTATATGTATATATATATTTGGGTTTTATTGACAGAAACAGTATCGCACTAAATATAATCTATTATTTGTCACATACTTTGCAGATCTACATCCGAACATATCAAATATATTCTATTTAAAGCTAAATAATGATCTGAATATATATTTTAATAATTTAAAATTGCCTTCTGAAAAAGCATAACAAATTTATACCTTCACCAAAAATGGACAAGTGACTAATAAATTTTTAAAACTTAAAAATACGGTAGATACAATGTGCTGCTTTTAACTGTGCTTCTGCCATTATTAGGAAGGTCATTACTCCACATTTCATAAATGAATTATCTTTGACCATTCCATCTCTAAATTATCTATTCATGTCTTTGTCATGCTTTTCAATTTAAATGGTTTTACTGATTTGTAGGTGCTATTTACACATTACAGATAAAAATTCCTTATTAATTTACAAATGTGTCCTCCCATTTTGTCATCTGTCCTTATCATTGTTTGTTAAGTGCACAGATTTCAACAAGGGTAAATATATTCACCTCATATAACTAATCTCCAGAACTCTCTGGAGTTCATAAAACTGAAGCTCTACTCATTAAACAAAAGTTTCCCATTAGCCAGGTGTGGTGGCACACACCTGTAATCCCAACACTCAGGAGGCTGAAGCACGAAGATCTCCAAGAGTTCAAGGCCAGCCTGGGCTACATAGTGAGACCCTGTCTCAAAAAAAAAAAAGTTCACTGGTCAACTAGGGAAAATCCCTAAATCCCTGGGCCAGGGATTTAGCTCAGTGGTTCCACCGTCTGCCTCGTAAGTGCAAGGACCCGAGTTCCATCCCCAGTACCAAAAAAAAGACTGCACATAGATTAACACAACTATCTTTATAATTTACTTTCATCTTCCTTTGTGATCTTTAAGTATAACTGTAATTTTGATAAAATGTACAGTTTTGTTTTCATCGTGAATAGACTCTCTATTCCTGCACCATATTTGAATTCATAAATAGAAACTTACTGATTTTTGCATGCCAAATATATATCTGTCTCATTAATAATTAGTTCTAATGGTCTTAATTCTATAATGCTTTTATAATCAGAAAAAATCATGCTAACAATAAAAAAGCCAATATCATATTGTATGATTCCATTTATGTAACATTTGTAAATGACCAAACTATAGAAAGAGAACTGATTAATGGTTACCCAGGATGGGGAGAAAGGGGGGTGGCTGAGGCTATGAACAGGGACCCTCATGGTGAGACTGTCATGCTCACTGACTGTGCTGTCATTGAACACATAGGTGTCCATGTAACCCTGTCAAATGGACTGTATCGGTCCATCTTCTTGGTTATGCCATTGTACTAGTTTTGCAAAATAGTACCACTGGGGAAAACTGGATGAAGAGTATACATATTATCTCTTATTCTTTGCACTGTTTTTATTCTCTGTATTATTTCTTATCATTGTAAGTGAATCTAGTTACTTCAAGTAAAATGATATTGAAATTTATGGGAAGGTTTAAAAAATCAAAATTAAAGTTAGAATTCTACTGTGCCAGAACATATATACATCTTTTCAGAATTCTTGGTGAATCAGTAAATTCAAAATACTTGTTGGTAAATCTCAGCTAAGTATTAATTTGAATGCTGGGATTCTTTAGCTTATCCAACCCTACATTCTACTGCTTTGTCTTAACATATTTAATGTACTTCCAAGATGTATTTCAACATGATGATCCTCATTTAAAAGAAGCAATTCACCTACCACCTCTATACAGCAAATGAAGTAACAGAAGAACTGTGCTGGGATGAGAGAAAAAAAAAGATTTCTACCAGAAAGACTTCTGGGGGAAACAGAACGGGTTTATAAAATGCTACTTGTTGCAAAAAAAATTCCACAACAAAACATTATAAAGTTAAATATGCTTCATTTTTAAAAAAAAGCTGTTTCTCTAACCTAAAAAAATTTGTTTTTGTCTTTATTTCTCATTTCCTTTAATTTTCTCACTTCCCAAACCTGTCTTCTTGATTCATTAGAAATTGTTCATTAATTGGGTATTATCAAGGGGAGCAATTGCAATAAATTATAAATGAAAAGCACTTTAAATAAGAATACCTTTCTTTTCTTTTATAATGTGGTTTTACTTCCTCAGATGAAACGCTTCGGGAAAGGATCAACTTAGCAATAATAAGGGACCAAAGTGCACCATTTTCCCTAGATCTAAATAAGGAAAAAAATTATATTGCATTATCAAAACATTCTTAGTTAAGTGTTTAGTACATGTGCTGCCGAAGTGAACACATCTTAATAAGTTTTTAAACGCCATCTGTGTTCCTTTTCCAGAATTAAATCATTTTATGAAGGCATCAATTCACCCAAAATTTTGCACCCAAGCAACTGCCACTCACTGCCCCAAAGATTAGTTTAGACTTTCAATACTTCTTCACAACTGGAACAGAGTTCTCTCTCCAAGGTAATCCCAAAGTCCTTCAAATCCCAACACACTTATATACCTATAACAATAGCTAAAGTAAAGGCTGACTTTGAAAGCAGTGAGAAGATGGGTAACAGACAACAAATTAAAGCAACTTCTAAAGACTTCTACTTCATCTGTACCCTAACTGTACTCATCGATTTACTAGTTCAGGAAAGGTCCAAATAGAAGGTCCCTAGAAGATAAAATCAAATATTTAATATCCACAAAGTATTTATAATAAGAGGGATTATTCAGATTGACATCTCACTGAAGCACTGGCGTGAAATAGGCTTATATCTTACAGAAGGCAAACCCATGAACAAGTAAAATAACTATTTAAGAAAACAAATTAAAATAGATTCTTACCTGTTAAATAGCAGCTGCAAAACACCAGAAGTAATACGAAGTACACATAAATTATCACATGTAATATTCATTTTTTGAAGCATTTCACAAAATCCAGTTACAAAACTTGGTGGATTATCTAGCTCTTCACACCACTGTAGCGAATAGAGTAGTTCTGCAGCTAAGAGAACGGACAGCGTCAAATCAGCAACTGCATGTGTGAGAAATCCTTCTACATTTTCATTTCTCTGCCCCATTTTCTAACACCGCTGTGATCACTCATCTCAAAACATCTAGCAACTGAATGTCAAATCTGCTTTGAAATGTCCAAGGACGTGAAAACTGGGAACAGCTTTCTAATATGAAATATCACCCTGCTAGACACAATAGGCTATGCCTGTAGTTCCAGCCATTCGGGAGGCTGAAGCAGGAGGAGTGTTTGAGACCAGACTGGATACCCCACCTCAAAAAACAAAACAAATTTTAAAAAATAGCACCCCTCTTCCAAAGGAGACCCCTCTTGATCTTTTTCATGATTACTTAGGAATTGAAAGATGCTAGATATCATTACAGCAATTCTAGCCATTGCAAGAAGTTGCACAGGTATTATAATTAAGGGAGCCAAGAGCTGAAAACATCAAGCCAATCTGGATTAAAAAAAAAAAAAAAGGGAAAAAATATGAAATGGTTAAAATAAAAGGCACAGGTTTCAGTGACAGACTGGTCTGGATTCAAATCTGTCTTGAGCTACACATAAATAGTTAAGACACTACAATTTTACTTCAGAGGATTGTTGTGAGAATTAAATGACCAAGTGTCTATCACAAAACCTTGCAATAACAGGTGTCTAAAACATAAATACTCACAAATCCCTTTTATAGAACCACATATGGAGCGTGAAATCAGAAGCTTTAAGACCTGATCTGAAAGCTAAGCCTAAATCCTAGTCAAATCAGGACAACAGTAACAACAGTATTTGACAGAAACAGCTGATAAAAGACTAATGACACCGCTAGTTTGTAATACTATAGTAACACAATGAACAAAAATAAATCATTTCTCTAATTTCCAGTTTTGATTTTGAACAGATTCGCTCTGAACAATGTAACCTGGCTACTTCTTTGCCCTTAAGTAAATGTGGAGCTGGCTGACCAAAAGAGGTGTCTCAGCTTTCTTCACAGACAATATATTCTCCCTACTACATAGTAACTGTGCTACTGCTGAAGGCTTGTAATGACACTGACACAGGATGTGTGTAAATCATCTTGTATAAGTCACACCATTTGCTACAGTTCTTAGCCGTGTACTAGACTGGGGACCTGCAGAGGTCCTAAGTTCTCTTGAGACTCATTTTGTAAGGAAAATAATGAGCAGCTGATGAATTCTAAAGTACAGAGGCTCAAAAACCAAAAGATAGGGCCGGAGATTTAGCTCAGTGGTTCTGTCGCTTGCCTTGCAAGTGCAAGGTCCCGAGTTCAATCCCCGGTACCAAAAAAACATACCACAGGATAATTCAGAAGCCTTGATAAAACACCGCCACCTCACAGCCACCTCCTTGGGGTATGTGCCATGACATCTGCTTGAGTACCTGCTCTTATACCAAATTACCAGGTCCAGCTCAGAGGATTACAGCAAGATTTCAGTGTTCAGAATTCAACACTTATCACTTAAGTAACCTAGTGTCCTATCACCAAAATAGTCAATAAAAAACTATAAATATTGAATTATAATTATCTAAATTGAAGCTAAATTGAAATTACTTTAAAACTATATGCATTTGTGCATTTTATCTGAATCTTCAGGTATACTTACTTATTTCTTCAAGGACATTATTTTCTAGAACTATTTTCTTCTTCAGTGCAACTAAGGTCATTTTGCTCAACAGTGCTGAAGTACACAAATGGCTGGGGAGTATCTTTGTATCTTGTTCTTTCAAATCTGTTTTGAAACATTCACAATTTAAACTCAATCTTCCCTCTAAAAGAGGTCTGTGTAACCACTGAAAAAGGAAAACATTAAATTATATCCAAAATAATCAGGTATTACTATCTATGCATTTCAGACAGGAGACAAAATGAGTTATTGGAACAGTTTACTAGTTAAAAGCTTCAGAAACATAAAAGTTTGGTTTTTATACAGAAAATTATCAATACATATATTTAAGACTCCTAAAGGGAAGAACCAAGTCTTAATCGCCTTTGTACCTGGTTATTGCCAAGATCAAATGATGTCCTGCAAACATCAAATGTTCAATATGAATATTCAGAAACATAAAGGCAAAACAAGATATGCATATTTCCTCAGAATAAAATAAAATGAATTCAAGCCTGCATGAAATCCAAACTTCACAATGACACACGCACTCTCCGATCTCAAACACACCTGAATAGGAAGAGACTGTCTCATATTTTCCCACTCAGTGTTGTTCGGCATTACACTTCCAATATAAACTCCCAGAAGAGAAGCATCTTCACTCTCTACAAGTGTATTTAGCAAATCGTCAACAGCAGACAAGAGGACCTGTAGGCTGAAAAAAATGCAAAGAATTTAGTTGTAGTCATGCTACGAGGAGCTTGAACACTTTAGTACACAGTAAGTATCCTATGACAGATAATAGTGTACCTGAATAAAAAGGGTAAAAATAGCCAGGCGTGGTGGTGCATGCTGAGGCAAGAGGACTGTCATGAGTTTGAGGCCAGCCTGGGGTACACAGTGAGTTCAAGTCCAGCCTGAACTACACAGCAAGACTCTATCTCAAAACAAACTAAAATGGAGGTGCCAGGCATGTTGGCATACACCTGTAATCCCAGCATCTGGGAGCCTGAAACAGGAGGAATGCAATGAGTTTGAGGCCAGCCTGTATTACATAGTGAGTTCAAGGCCAGCCTGAACTACATAGTGAGACCCTGTCTCCAAAAAAAAGAGGTAAGGGATTCTCAGTGTTGGCGAACCTATAGCATGCATGCAACAGTGGTAGGCTGTGTCACTGAAACCTCTAAAAGGTTCACCATCACTGCTCTAGACATATTACAGAGACAAACTGGGAATCTAATTCAGTATTTACAATTTGAAATATAGTGCTGTTTCTATACCAGAATGTAAACTGGACTAATTTCAGATGAAATACTTCTGAATTAGTTACTTTATTCCATGTAAACAGCACGAAGCTTTTATTTTATTTATTTATTTATTTTTGGTACTGGGGATCAAACTCGGGTCCTTGTGCCTGCACAGCAGGCATGGAAACCACTGAGCTAAATCCCCCGCCAGCACAAAGCTTTTAGATACATTGTTTTCACTCTCACTATATGCTTTTAGGTATGGTAACTGAAATATATTTGCAATCCAATACCTTAAAGCAGTGGCTACCTGTCCCAAAATAACACCCCATATAACCAGTATGTGTGGTACCACGAGAGGCACGAATAAAAATGCACACCAACCTTTGAGAAGGACACAGCCCCCATCACATCATTTACTACAAATTGGTGGGCCAGCAGATTAAACAAATCATTCAATTAATTTACAGTTTAAGTGGATGATCACTGAAACACGTTTTTGGAAAAATTTGTTTCGATTTTCTCTTCTGAGTCCCGTAGATTTCTTACATAACAAATCATTTCCCATAGGTACTCACACTACGGTGGAATTAAGCATAGAAGACACACTGTGCACCTAAGTGAGCACAAGGAAGTTACCTTGTATTATCCAAAGGTGAAGCCTGAACTTGCTCCTTCAGCCACAGAGCAGACAAATCCAGGAAGGTGCTCTGTCCGTGTGAACCACCGGTTTTATGGATCAGTAAGTTTACACCAGAAAGCCAAGTATTTTTCAGTTTACATGTTAGAAAATCTAAAATCAAGATATCAACAGGAATGTGTAATCTCACTGACTTAATTTTACACTTGATCTTAGCCAAAAGGCCGAGAAGCAATTCACTGACTTAATTTTAATCAGTATACAGTGTCTGAAAACACTCACTACAGATCTGAGATTTTTAAGATAGCATTTTATTGTTTTTTTGTTTTGGTACTGGGGATCAAACTCGGGTCCTTGCGCTTGCACAGCAGGCAGCAAAACCACTGAGCTAAATCTCTGGCCCAAGATAGCATTTTAAAAAGAAAACACAAAAGCAAAATTAAATTGCCAAAATGAATTACCTGCAATAATACAAATTAGCCCGTGCCTATAAGTTTAAAATGCTAAGAAGTTGTCTTTTTCGATATGTAATTTTTAGAAATTACCTTTAAAGCAAAGATGTGGGAGAGGGGCTTTCCGTCAATAGTGTTTTTTGGTTTTGTTTTGGGTTTTTTTGGCAGCAGGCAAATATTTTATTGGTACATTTTAGGTATACAATATGATAACATTCATCATTGGGTGCTTGTACCTTTACATGATGTATCTTGGTTCTTATTTGTCCCCGTTCCCCTGCTCTCCCTTCAACCCCTCCATTCCTCCCTATTTACAAAGACTTTGTTTCAATTTTTTCCTATTCTCAAATTAATTCCATTCTCTTCTCTTTCCCCTACCCCTACCACTTCCCCCTCCCCTTTGCCCCTTTTCTCCCTATTTCACATTATCTGTTATACATTTTTATCCTTATTTACACTTTTAGTTTCTCACACCAGAGAAACTTCGGTATTTACACGTGTGTCCTATTTATTTCGCTTAGAGTATGGCCTCAGTGTGATTCCATTTAGCTATAAATCTCTAGTTTCTCATTCTTTATGGCTGAGTAGTATTCCATTTTGTTTTTTAAAAACCCCACATCTTCTTTATCCAGTCTCCAGCTGTTTATATTCCTTTCATAAATAACCCTGAATTAAATATAGGCTAAAAATATAGTTCTTATAATCTCAATTTCATTTTCATATACATCAAGACTATTTTTAATAATGAGCTATTATCCTTTTATGAATGTGATATCAAGAAATCAACTTGAGTTACTGAATGGAGGGGCTAAAATTGTCAATCATCTATTAACAGCCCTTATCAAAACTGTTTCCGTAACATTAGGGAAGTACTTTAGACCGAACATTGACATACATCTTTAATTTGGTTTCTAAACTGAAAGTATCTTAAGTATCTATTAACTCAAAATGCTTTAAACTTCATACACATTATGATTCAATTAATAAAGCCTGGGCACTTACACTTACTATGAAGGTCAGAGCTGGAGATTCCCAACTAAACATTTGAGCTCTAGCCTATTACCTGGCAAATGTGTTTTTTCTTTGCTTTGAGCACATAACTGAAAGAGCGTTAATAATAAATCTTCAGATGATGGCATTAGCAGGCATCCCTTCGCTGAGCTAAAATAGTTATAGGCCACATTGCAGATAAATGACACTGGTGAGTCACTATTTTCAGCTTCTGACAAGTCCTTTGTTTTGGATAAAGTTTCATGAAGTTTAACAATAATTCTTTCAACATATACTTCTTCAATCAAGTAATCTAGAGAAAAAACGCCCAAAGAAAAACCAGAAAACATTAACAGTGCATTTTTAAACATTTTACGTTTGGTTAGTAACCATGTTGGTCTTTATTTTTTTGGTACCGGGGATCAAACTGAGGACCTTGTGCTCGCAAGGCAGGTGCGGGCTCCACTAAGCTAAATTCCCGGCCCCCATGTTGGTCTAAGTGGGCTTTTGTTAAGGTGTTCATGTATTAGAAAAACACAGTATGGGGCCGGGGATTTAGCTCAGTGGTTTCACCGCCTGCTGCCAAGTGCAAGGACCCGAGTTTGATCCCCGGTACCAAAAAAAAAAGAAAAAGGAAAAACATTGTATGAACAAATCAATCTGTCCTCAGATACATAAAAGCCCTCAGGTAAAAAGGCATTTTTAAATTAAGTGAAACACAGCAGTGGTCTACAAAAGCAAGAGTGAGCAGCTTTGTATACTCAAGGGCTTTGAATACAAAACTAAGAATATTAAATATCTTCCAAGTCATACTACAATTACTAACAAATATTTAGGGTGCTTATAAAATTAAGATATTTGAATGGATAAGTATTATTCTCAACCAATAATATGCAAACTGAGCAGCATGAATCTTTCCCAAAGGTGAAATGGATTATTATCCCCTGCTAGAAAACAAAAGCCATATTTTCCCTACCATTTTTAACATGTTGGGATAATACCAAGCTCAGAAGAGTCCATTGTTCTGAGAAGTAAGATTTTGAAGATACTGTGGATTCCAAGTCCTTTTTACAAAGACAATCTGCCAGGGCAACCAATTTCTCTCCCAGGGTACTGCCTTTTAACCAAGGAGCTACTAAAGCATGTTTATCTGAAGTAGAACATGCCTAAAACCATAAAATTAAAGAAAATATTAGAACCAAGGTAAAAAAGGTATATATGTCTAATTATTATACCATATTATCTCTCTTCATCTTATGCCTCAGCTCTGCTCCCACTCCTCCATAGGTTCTAGGAAGACTGAGATTTCCACTTTTCCCCCCTAAGGCTACCTTATGTTGAATTTCTATGCTCTGTTAAAGGATCCTCCCTCCAACAATAAATATTCTCCCTCTTACTTATCAAATTCCAACCATTCTTTGAAAGTCAATACAAATCCCACCTACTTTATGAAGCCTCCCCCACCATCCACTATAGTCCACAATGATTGATGTTCTCTGAATTTCTAAAGCACTTACTGGATTGTATTATTATTTAAATGTTTCATCTGTGTTTATCTTGTCTTTCCAAAGAGATTGTAAATTCCTTGAGAGCAGAGATTGTCTTAAATTTCTTTGATACCTAGTAACACTGTAGATATGTTCAATGAATAATGAATGAACTCTGTAGATCTATAAATGCTCTACAGATTTTTGTTCATTAATTTTGCTAAAATTAAAGAACAATTTATATATAATGGTAAATGACTTCAATATGAACAATAGGACTTCTTTCCCCAAGTTCTCTGAAACACAGTTACTGGGGCTAGGAATCTGACAGCAACTTATTTATTTTCATTAGAGGTGGGGAAATGAAAAAATTTTCAAATCCACCCCCAAAAGAATGTTGATCCTTGCCGGGGATTTAGCTCAGTGGTTTCGCCGCCTGCTGCACAAGCGCAAGGACCTGAGTTCGGTCCCGGTACCCAAAAAAAAAAGAATGTTGATCCATGTTCCCAGAGCTTCTTTTGCTCTGAGGGCTGAGAAGAAAGGAATTTGCAACTTGCTTCATCTCAAAGCAATCTGGAAAAAAAAATCCAAGTGCAGACTGAATAATGCCTCAAAAATTGCTTATTTAAAAATTTATAGGTAATCAAAGCTTATCTTTTAGTCCAAGCTTTACTATTAAACTGGCCTTACGACCTTGGACAAATCTCTTAGCCAACCTGGGCCTATCTCCTAATTTGAAAATGAAAAATTTTAACTTCCAGAAACTCTTAAGGTTCTTCTAGTTCCTAAATTCAGGTTAGTTTTCATTTGTCTTTAAATAAACTGACTTCAGGACTCTGCTCATAAAGATACATGATCAAAAAAATACTTTAGAAGGCTTTCCCTTATGTAGTTTACCAAACAAAACCAATCTGTAAAACCCTGGTAAAGAAAATAAATTCTGAATTAGTCTCCCAAGTTAGAAAGACAAATCCTTCAGTGCCTTAACATCTCTAATGAATGAATGAATCAATGTAGGTGAGAGGAAGGCTAGTGAGTCATAGAAAGCATGGCAGTGTTAGGAACTTCCAAACACTGCCCAGGAAGAAGATATTCTTCCAACTTGACAGGGATTTTATAAGGCTGAAATGGATACATCAGTTTACTGTTATCAATTTCAGATTTCTCTGCTCTGATTCTAGGCTTATTGGCTATCTAAACTTTTGGCTTTTCATGTAGCTGGCCTACAGGAGTGAAGGTACTGGATAAACTAGTGTAAATGATACACATTTCTCACTGAATAGTAAGAAATATTTCTCATTGAATAGTAAGAAGTTAGTAGTGTACTCTGTATTTATTTTGACAACTAGGAAAAATGGGAAGTTTCTGTTAAATGAACACAGAGCTTCCATTCTGCAAGGTGAAAGTTTTAGGGATTGCTTGCAAAACAATAAGAACATACTTATCACATTATTGAACTGTACATTTAGAAATAGTTGCACTCTGGGAGGCTGAGATAGGAGGATGGCAAGTTTGAGGCAAGCCAAGATCCTCTCTCAAAATAAAAAATAAAGGGCTGGACACGGAGCTCAATGCAAAGGCTCTGGGTTCAATCCTCTGTCACACTCACACACACTCACACACACACACACACACACAAACACACGGTTAGGATGAGACTAGGACAGTGATGGTGAACCTTTCAGTTTTCAAGGATGTAAACAGCCCACTGTGGCACACATGCCACAGATTCACCATCACTGGGCTAGAGTATGGCTCAGTGGTAGACATCCTGCCTAGCATATAAAAGGCCCTGGGTTCAATCTCCACCCAAAAAGAAAAAAGGAAAGAAATGATTAGCATGGTACATTTTTGTTGTGTTTTTTACTACAATTTTAAAATAGAAAAAAAAAATTCAAAAGTTATCATTATAAAATAAAAAAGCATCAAAAAATGCTTCAAGAGGAGAAAGAATGGTACATAAGTAGTCATGACAACATACGCATAGTTGGGAAAATGTTAGTTATATCATTTACTTCTTAATTAAAGAGCCATTTTTAAAAGTTCTAAGTTGTGTTCTTGGTGGTGGGGGTTGGTGGCACTGGGCACTGAACCAGAACCTTCTCACTAAGCTACATCCCCAAGCCCATTTTTCTTTATTTTAAAGACAAGAGCTCAGTGCAAAGGCTCTGGGTCTTGCCAAACCACTAAGTTGCCCAGACTGGGCTCAAATCTGTGAACCTCCCTTCTTAGCCTCTGAGTGCTAGGATTATCACCACACCCAGCTTCATTTTTTTTATTTGGTCAAATGGTAAATCACATGAACACTGGAATGTTTTAATCTGCCTGCCTAGTATTACAAAGTAGAGAAAACGTAATTTCCTCATGTGTTCTAGCCAAAGCTTGAACTTCTCAATTCACTTCTATAGAAGGAAATGTAACTAGGATAAGAGTAGAAACCTACAGCCTTAATTAAAAAATAATGTAACAGTTAATTCTCCTTCTATTAACTGGTAGGAAAGAAACCCGACATTTTCCAGAGCCAGTCTGTTTTTCTTTGCTTTTCATAACTCCTCCCCGCAAAAAACACTACAGTATATGAATGCAAAGATAAATGTCTTCTCAAATTAGAGGAAGGAAAGTTATAATTGTAAGGAAGTTCTCTAACACAGACACCTGCCTACCTGACTCTATTCAGTGTGTAAATACAATGATTTTAATTTTTCTATGCCTATGAATCCAAAATAAGAAAGAAAAAACCCTAAAATACCTTTTCAATAACCTGAAGAAGAGAATGCCACTCCAGGTCCTCCTGAAAGAAGAAAATTAAAAATGTATTAGAAACAACAGTAAAACTTTTAAAATGTAAACAAATACTCAACATAATACAAAACTTAAATAATTTAGCGATCCAACTCACCTTTTTATTAACAACCTTTTGCTGAACATCTACCCAGAACTTCCCAAGTCCCAATCAAGAGTACATTGCTTTCCTTTAAATTGCTATTTATAGTCAAAAAGTAACTCAAAACAATCCCCATACACTTATTCCCCTCAACAAGCATTAAAATAATTTTAAAAGACATCTAACAGTAATACCTTGGTTAGATCATCCAGGACATCTTTTCTCTCTGTGTCACCATCACAGCAACGGAGGGCACTATACAAAATGTCCACCAGGAAATCCGCATCCTTCCTCTGATCTTCATTTAGCCAACCTACCAGTTTGTGGTACAAAAACTGCACTGCAGGATTGTTTTGTATGAGTTTGGTTATTTCGAGAGGTTTGGCTTTGACAATACTTTCTTTTTCATCACCAAGGAGCATTTTAAATATTTGGCTTGAAGAGAAAGCATCAAGGAGAAGAGAAAGAAACCTTAGATGTTGCTCTGACTTTTGTTCATTGACATAATTAATACTCATCTCTGCGAGTTTACAGACTAAGTCTTCCAAAGGCTTTTTCCGTAGAGGTGAGACATGACTTGAAGAATTATGATTGAGAGAAGATTCAGTCATAGATTCAGAGCCTTCATTGTTTTCTCCTTCTGAAGATACACATTTTTCATTCTCTTTATTACTTTCAGGTGTCTCATCAGCAAACCTAACCTTATTAGTTTTTTTTTTATTTGATTTCAATGAGCTCTTTGGCTTCTGAAGTACCTGTAATAAATTGGACACACCCAAAACAGATTTATCATCAACTTCTTGTTCATTGATTTTCTTGACACAGATCTCTGACAATCTTTTCCAAAAATTTAGCAGTACATTCTCCAAGTTATGAGTAGTTTTGTCATCTTTTTCCACATCTGCTTTGTCTTCCCAGGAAATTAAAGTTTCCGCTAGATGGTTAAACAGTTGCCCATGTGGCAATCCTGCTTCTTTAAGAACTGTATCAATAAAAGGGATTAGCTGAAAGAAAAGGTAAAAAATATAAAAGTTGTTTTCAAGAGAAACAAATTTTAAACACAATTCAAAGATCATTTTTCAAAAAGCATATTGATTTTCTTAAAATACAAAGATAAGTTAATTATCTAACACATCAACTAAAATCTAAGCTTCTATAATCTTATTAACTTCCCACAATAAAGAACCATATTCCAGAACATGGTTTCATCATTTAATCTAAAACCCAAGCCCAACTATGCACAAAAAGATGAATAAATTCAAGTATTTATTAGTAACAAGATGATTACTGCATGATTTAAACTTAATACAAAAGGTCCCATATAGCATCCTACAAAATCTGTTTTGTGCTGCATCTCTCTAAAACAGTTTTTAAATCCAGATACTAGATATCTTTAATCAGCCTAATGCCTACCTCAGGCATTATGATAGTACACTAGCAACTGACAGTACAGAATTTTTACTTATTATTCAATTGGTTAAGTACAACAATGAAATCTTTACATGAAAGGTTAACTACTAAAATTGGCTGTAAGATACAATTAACTATTCTTGATAGTCAGTGGGCAAAGGCACTGCCGACTTTCATGGTATAAGTACCTGATCATTGACGAGCATCTGTTCAATCTCTTGTTCACCTAAGTTTTGCTGCATTATGAAACGTAAACATTCAAAAAAAGCAGATATTACTGCTGAGGACTCTGTAAAGCTGGTTTTGATCCTCTCTGTTGACAGCCTATGAAATAATAAATAATTATGGACTACTCTTTCAGAAAGAAATAACTTAAAATCATCAAAATGAAGACACTGAAAAGGCATCAAAAGAAGTTATCAAAAGAAATCAAAAGAAGATCTTTTAAAAATAAAACTCTAAAACTAAAAACTAAGACCAAATTATATGCAACCAATGAGAATATAAGCCTGAAAAATTATGAAAAGAACAAATTTCCAAAAACTGTATTCACAAAAAATATTTATTTTCTGCACACAAATCAATCCACCTACAAATTTGAAAAACAGGACTTAACTAAAGGAAAAACTGGTATGGTTTAAAAAAGCAATCATTAATAAAATTATAGTTGTATTAATTTCAACAAATACAGGGAAACAATTTTTAGCAAACTATGAAAAAAAAAATCTTGGGCCAGGGGTTTAGCTCAGTGGTTTCGCTGCCTGCTGTGAAAGCGCAAGGACTCGAGTTTGATCCTCAGAACCAAAAAAAACAAAACAAACAAACAAACAAAAATCTTACCGGATCATTTTCCGCATTTGGACATTTGTATTTACCAACACCTATGAGCTTTACCATATTTAACTACGCTAGACACTACCACAGAAGGTTAGGAAGTATTCAAGGGAAGAATTCTGAGCTAGGTGCAGTCCTCAGAAGGATCATTGAACCCAAGAATTCAAGTCTAGTCCGGAAAACATAGTGAGACCAAGAAAGAAAGAAATAAGAGAGAGAGGGAAGGAAGGGGATGAAGAGGAGAGGGACAGAGGGAGAGAGGAAAGAAGGGAGGGAAGGAAGGGAAAGAAGAAAAAGAAATCCAACTGTACTTCTCTATAAACTGTAGGAGTGTTTAATAAACAGCAATTTGGAGAAATTCAAATAGGAATGAAAATAAGATAATATCTTTTGCTTTGAAAATTGAGAATTAAATTCCTTACCCTGCAACCAGAGAGGTGAGGAAATTTTTGAAGAAATCCAACTTTGGATCTGTAATGGACTGAGGGAGCTTACTAATAAATGGCAGAAGATAAGGACATATGACAGTAGCTAAGCCCCGGCCACCTTCACGAATCACAGTTGACAGCTTAGGAAACACGCTTTTTTTTGCATTTACATGAAGCCAACAGTCCTAACCAAAGAAAAGATTACAACAATAATTAGAGATCATGAATATATTTTCCCAGTTAAGAGACAAAAATATACATAGGCTCTCAAAAATAAAAATCAAGTATTTTACCTAAAAAAACTAAAATCTCTCACCACCATTAAAATACATGTATGTATTACATATATTAACCACATATTCCATATACTACTAGGATAACACTGACCAGAAATAAATATTTAATGTAAAGGATGTCTGTAAAAACTGCTTTCCTAAAAAGACACAGTACCAGGGCCGGGGATTTAGCTCAGTGGTTTCACTGCCTGCTGCACAAGCGCAAGAACCCGAGTTCGATCCCCAGTACCAAAAAAAAAAAAAAAAAGACACAGTACCAAAATATCTGAACTTTCCTTTATACATAAGATTCAGATGTGCTGACTGCAATGGGACATAAACAGAAAGTAAAATAAAAACTCGTTTTATAGTCAGTTTAAGATTTATATCAAATTTATATTTAAATATTTCATCCTCCCCCCCCAAAAAAAAACACTTTCCATTAAGTTTTAGATATAATAATCAGATAGTATCTAAGGATTCTAAAATGTAAGTAGGAAGACAAGTATTCCCACATGTACCAAACGTGCCTCTTGACCCACCTCAACAGTTGTGAGTGTATAGAGTACAGCTTCCCAGAGAGAGGGGCAGACAATGGGGTCACTGTCATCAATGCTGAGAAGAACAGATGGGCTCACTTTGGAAGCTTCCTCTTTCATCAGCTGTGGAATGCGCTGGCACAGAGCAGAAACTAACTCAAAATATGCTGAGCGGATCTGAAAAAAAAAAGAAACAGCTGAATTAAATTAAAACCTAGTAAAGTTTAAGATTTATTTATCGTAGTGGTAGATAACATTATTTACAATAACCCTCCCACAGATACAAGTAAAAGAGCTATAAAAATAGTTTCTGAAATCTTAAGAATATAGTAAATGACTGAAAAGACATTAGGATCAGTCATCAGGAATGACCAAGGCAAAAGTGAAGTCAGAAGGAGTTAATTTAAATTTTTCTTTGGCTGAAGCGAACAAATCCTTTTTAGTAGCAGGACACTTCCTCTGGGGTATTCAACCCAGTCAAACAAATAAAAAACAAGACAGCATGAGTCACAATCAGCAGAAACAAGACAGCATACAAACATTAAGGCTTTAAATCTTAGAAGTTATACTCACCAACTCCATAATGACAATGTTTACTATATTTAAACAAACAAAAGTTTAAAGAAATATGCAGGAAAAGGAACCCTAGCAAAACCATAGAAGATCTGAAAAAGAATCAAGCATATTTCCTCAATTAAAAACAAATTACTTAAATTTAAAACTCAATTCATAGTTTACGGGTAGTCTATGGTCTAAATGTGTTCTTTTAAAACATATATTTATATTGGAACTTAAGTGCCAATGGGATACTGTAGTTTTAAGGGGAGAGGCATTTTCGAGAGGTGATTGAATGCTCCACCCTCATGAATGGGATTAGTGACTGTACAAAAAGGAACAAGCCTGCCCTTTCTGCCCCTTCACCAAGTGAAGACATAGCAAGAAGACACCATCCTGAAGCAGGCAAAACAAGCCCTCACCAGTCACTGAATCTGTTGGAACCTTGATCTTGGACTTCTCAGACTCCAGAACTATGAGAAATAAATTCCTAATATTTCAAAATTATTCAGTCTAAGGCATTTTGTTATAACAGCATAAAATGGATTGAAACAAGCAAATTAGACAGAAATAAAGAGAAAATCCATGAACTGGAAGATAAAGCAAAGAGATCATCCACAAAGCAGCATAGAGACAAAAAGATGAAAAACATCAAAGAAAGCATAAGACAGAGTAAGAAGATTTAAAATATATTTAACCGAAATCCTGAAGAGAAAGAGGCAAAGAAAATACTGGAGAAAACACCTTAGAATTTTAAAGAGCCAATCCACAGACTCAAGCCCAACAAATCTCAAGAGAGATACATGGATACACAAAAGGAAATCCACACCAAGACACATGGGAGTAGAACTACAAAAACACAGTAAATCCTTTAAAAGTAGCCAAGTAAAAGGCAAACTACCATCCAAGGAAAGACAGTGAGACTATCAACAAATTCTTTGTAGTAGTAGGACACAGCAACAATTTAAATCAGGAGACAGTGGAACAATGTCCTCAACACTAAAGTAATGTCAACATGTAACTCCATACTGTATGTGGGTAAAAATATCTTTCAAGAATGAGAGTAAAGTTGGGTGGGGTGGTGCATGCCTATAATCTCAGCATTTGGGAGGGTGAGCAAGCCTGAACTACACAGCAAGACCCTGTCTCAAAAAAAATAATGAGAATATTTTCCATGTTCAAATGGGTAGAGGAATGAGGGAGAAAAGTGGGGGAAAGAAGGAAGGAAAAAGAAAAGAAAATGAGAAAAGAAGGAAAAAAGGAAACACAGCTTTTGTAGATAAGGAGGGGAAGAGGGATTGAAGGAAGGGTAGAAGAATAGGACAAAAAATAAAGAATCAAGATATACCATGTACAGGGCCAGGGATTTAGCTCAGTGGTTCTGGCGCCTGCCTTGCAAGCGCAAGGTCCCGAGTTCGATCCCCGGTACCAAATAAATAAATAAATAAAAAGATATACCATGTACAGGTACAAAGTCCCTATGATGAATGTGATCGTTATGTATATCTAAAATGTACCACTGAACTTAATCAATTAAAAAAAAGAATGAAAGTAAAATATTTTATAAAAGGGCTGGGAACTTAGCTCAGTGGTGCCACCGCCTGGCTCACAAGAGCAAGGTCCTGAGTTTGATCCCTGGTACCAAACAACAACAACAACAACAACAAAAAAAAAACTGTATGTTCATATAACCATATGAAAAGAAACAACCAAGAAAATTCCAGCATTCATTCATGACAGAAACACTCAGCACAGTAAAAACAAAAAGAAAATGTTTAAACCTTAAAAAAGTCTACAACAGGGCTGGGGATTTAGCTCAGTGGTTTCGTCACCTGCTGCGCAAGTGCAAGGACCCAAGTTCGATCCTTGGTACCAAAAAAAAAAAAAAAAAAATCTACAACAAACACCATACTTAATACTAAAAGTTTAGGCTATTTCCATTCAAGTTAGGAACAAGAAAAACATGTCTGCTATCATCACGCCTTCTCAGAGAGCACTGGAGAACCTATTCAATACAAAGAAACAAGGAAAAAAAGACTTGGAGTGGAAGCCAAATTAAACAATATAACAAGCTATAAATATACACAAAAAGACCTAAAGACAAACCACTAGAACAGGACCCTGAGTTACTGAATACAAAATTAACATAAAGAATATAGCACTTTTATATATTAGTAGAAACAAAATAGAAAATGTAATTAAAAAGTCCACTTAACAGTAGCAATAAAAATCCTAAAGGCATATTCACTGTAGAGAATACTATAAAACATTATTCTAGGACGCAAAGGATATAAAATAGCAAAAAGAATTCTGAAAGTGCACTTTCCTAGCTGAGGTCAAACAAGATTATAGATGTTTTGTCTTCTTATTTTAGCTCTCATTCTATAGTAAGTATCCTTTCCACAGACTACCGCATTTTTCAAAATTGTTGTAGTCTTTGTTAGCAATTTTCGGGTGTTGAGCAGCCTCTATGTGTAGCAGTACAGTGCTGTCTATTGTACCTAAGTGCAAGAAGGCTGCAACATGCCTGAGAACGTGTTAGATAAGCTTCATTTAGGCATGAGATCCAGGGTTTCTGGCATGAGTTCAATATTAATGACTCAAGAATACATATATTAAGTAAGATGTCTTTACAAACACATAAAACAAAGTTAAGTATTGATCCACTGAAAAACTGTTGTGTCCAGAGGCTCGCAGAAACTTAATCCTGTATTTCCCCTGGGAGCAACCTTTGAGTATTCACTAACTCAGTGTTTAGGCTGAAGTTATAGAACTACACAAAATATATACACTAGAAATCAGCCGCTGAAAATGGAGGAGGAACAGGAGATAGGGACAAAAGAGAATAAGTATAAAAAGTCTTGTGTACACCAACAATTATAAGTGCCATGAACAAAAAAATATGACAATTCAACTCTGAACCTGATGGCCAAATTAAACAAAAAGTGAAAACAAAGAGTTTAGGGTGTGGCTCAGTGGCAGAGTGCATACTTAGCATGCACAATACTTCATCAAGATGAAGACGACGATGAAGGAGGAAGAGGGGGAGGATGAGGAAAAGAATAGAACTCTAGTAAAGAGATTATTCAGTCCTGAATGATCTACCTCAAGAATGTGCTTACAAAATTGTAAATATGAACAATAGACATAATCTAATAAGATCAGCAGGTTAAATTTGAAAAGTGTTTTAGGATATTTTAAGAGTAAAAGTACACAGGTCCTGAGAAGCCAGACCCATGTGGAAGCTGCTACCTGTCACGGGCCTGGCTCGAGGAGAACCATATAGACTTGTGACTGGTGTTGAGTATGTTGTTGGAAGGAAAAACTGTGCCGTTTTAATTGACAATGATCAGTCCATCAGTCAAAATCATGCTGTGTTAACAGCTAACTTTTCTGTAACTAACTTGGAAACAGGTGAAATTCCTACTTTAAGAGTAAAAGATAATTCTAAGTATGGAACCTTTGTTCATGAGGAAAATGTGCAGAATGGCCTTTCTTGAACTTTGAAGACGGGATAGTTACCTTTGGAGTGTTTGAAAGTAAATTCAGAGTAGAATATGAGCCTTTGGTTGCGTGCTCCTCTTGTTTAGATGTCTTTGGGAAAACTGCTTTAAATCAAGCTATATTACAACTTGGAGGACTTACAGTAAACAACTGGACAGAAGAATGTACTCACCTTATTATGGTATCAGTTAAAGTTACCACTAAAACAATATGTGCACTCATTTGTGAACATCTGATTGTAAAGCCAGAATATTTTACTGAATTTGCTAAAGCAGTTCAGTCCAAGAAACAGCCTCCACAAATTCAAAGTTTTACCCACCTGTTGATAAATCAGCCATTGGAAGTAAAAATATCGATCTGTTAGGACAACAGGAAAGAAAACAAATCTTCAAAGGGAAAATATTTGTATTTTTAAATGCCAAACAGCATAAGAAATTAAGTTCAGCAGTTGTTTTGGAGGTGGAGAAGCTAGGTTGATAACTGAAGAAAATGAAGAAGATAGGTCTTTTTCAGCTCCTGGAACTTGGGTTATTGACATAGGAATAACAAATACACAGATCTTAATTCCTGACTCCCAGAAAAAAATGGATTCACTCAATTATGGATATACTCCAAAGGCAGGGTCTTAGACCATTCCTGAAGCAGAAATTGGATTGGCAGTTATTTTCATGACTACAGAGAATTATTGTGATCCTCAGGGCCAGCCCGGCACAAGATTAAAGACAAAGACTCTAGAGTCAAGCCTTTCACAAGACTGGTCAGTCAGCGAAAATCTCATGCCAAGTGCTCCTGAGAACACTGCAACATATGTAGCTGGCACAGAATCAGACCAAGCACATATATGTATGTATTTGAGTGAAAAGCCAAAAGAAATAAAAATCTCCAAAACGGAACAAAAATGTGGATCATCTTCACAAGAAATAACCATTATAAAAGAAGCCCCCCAAAACAAGCTCCAATAATAACAGCATCATATACTCTGGTTAGGGCAAATATCCAAAATTATCAGCTTTCACCAACTAAATTCCCAAAAGTAAATAAAAGCAGAGATGGCGCTTCTCAGCAGCAACAGACAAATACCACTAGAAACTACTTTCAGCCATCTCCCAAAAAAAGGGAAAGGGATGAAGAAAACCAAGAAATGTCTTCATCCAAATCAGCAAGAATAGAAATGTCTTGTTCTCTTCTAGAACAAACACAACCTGCTATAACCTCACTATGGAAAAACAAAGAGCAAAATCTACCTCAGAATGAACCTATGGACACACAAAATCAGAAAACTTATTTACAGGTGATGAAGATTTAAAATCCAGTGTGAAAAACTCTGACAGTAAATCTGTTTCTACAAAAAGTCTAAGATCAAAAAAAAAGAAAAGAAATTGATTTGGCCATAGAAGATGAACTATTGGAACAGTTATTCAAGAACACAAGACCAGAGTTAGAAATTGAAGTGGAAGTTGAAAAACAGGAAGATGTCAACATTAGAAAAAAGTCAAGATTGGATATAGAAACAAATAACAATTTTGATGATAAAATAATATCAGAAAGCGACAAAATACCTCAAGAAAGTGAAGTTGGGAAGAAATGTGAGCTCAAGAAAGAATCACTATGGTCAACTAAAGAAATATCTAGCTGGGGATTTAGCTCAATGGTTTCGCCACCTGCTTGCTGCGCAAGCGCAAGGACTCAAGTTCAATCCCCAGTACTAAAAAAAAAAAAATCTAATAGTGATGAACCTAAGGACAGCAGTGAGATGCTTCAAAAAAAGTTGTTAATGACTGAATTTAGATCACTGGTGGTTAATAACTCCACTTATAGAAATCTGTGTGGGATAAATAATGATCATGGTCATCAACCAAAGAATTTCAAGAAATTCAAAAAGGTCACATTTCCTGTTTCCTGGAGCAGGTAAACTTCTGCACATCATTAGAGGATCAGATCTAATAGCTCATCATGCTCAAAAGAACGCAGAATTAGAAGACTGGTTGAGACAGGAAATGGAGGTACAAAAGCAACATGGAAAAAAAGAGTCTCAGGCTGATGATCTCTTTAGGTATAATCCTAATGTTAAAAGGAGAAGATAATTGAGAACTTTAAAAAAATTATGAGCCATCCGTCACCTGCCTCACAAGTGCAAGGTCCCGAGTTTGATCCCTGGTACCAAAAAAAAAAAAAAAGGAAATTATGAAAACAAGCTTCCCAGGAAGCATTTGCTTCAGGCCAAGATACATGAATACAATGTATGGAAGAGATTTAAGTTTTTGTGACCCAAATTTGTTAAATAAAATGCACAAAATTCTTAAAAAAAAAAAAAAACAAGAAAAAAAAAGAATAAAAGTAGATTAAGATACCTGAGGTATACTGTGTTTTCCATATTTCCAAAATTTATTCTGTGATAATAGAGATTTGAATTTCTCCTCCAGAGAATCAAGCTCATTATCAGGTAAAAGGCAAAGCAATTTCTTTAATGCCAATAAGGAACAAGTTACAACTCGATAGAATTTAGCTTCTCTTTCTTCCTCTGGAACAGTTCTTGATTTGAAAAGAAAATAAATAAAAGGACCAAGAATAAGGCAAACTATGGTGAATGCTTAAATTTTTCAAAAATTACAGTAAAAGACACAATGACATTAATATCCCTCAAAACACTCCCACTCATTTGGAGCACACTTACAACATCATTCTTGCACTTTCTGAAGTCATTCTGAAAGTCTTCTTCCACGAGTGTCTTTATGAGATATGACCAGAAATACAGTGAATGCTGCTGGCAAGTGCCATCCAACAAAAAGGCAAGCTTGTAAAATATGAGGGTGTCTCCTCATCCACATTATTCACTGGATCCGGCACCATTCCCCGAAGTCAAAATGACCAAGAAAGGTAAACATTTTGAATAGATTCAGGACATCAAGACAACCACAACACCACAACTAAAGACACTCATGAATGAGGACTTCTGACCTGCTTCAGAAAGTGGCAAGAATGACAAGATAAATGTATTTGAAGTGAGGAAGAGTATTTTGAAAGGGGTTAATGGAAAAATTTTTTTGGAATAAATTTTTAAACACCGTATTTTTCAATCACATGTCATACTTTAAATGTTTTAATCATTAAACATCTACTTTATTTCCATCTTCTACTCTCCTGTGTCAAACTCCCTCAAAATACAAACATACGCAGAATTTTAATCACATATTTTACTGCTAATATGAGATGAAATTAGAGGAAAAACCATGGCTTGAAATAAATGACCAAGTGTATACTCTCAGAAGTATATCTAGACATCTCTGACTACTTTCCCTTATGGATTCTTAAGTTTAATTAGAAAATAATAGTAAACATAAAATATTTTAGCAGGGCATGGTACCACATGCCTGTAATTTAGAAGACTGGGGCAGGAAGATTACCATGAGTTCAAGGCCAGCCTGGGCAAGACAGTGAATTCAAGGCCAGCCTGAATTACATAAGGAGACCCTGTCTCAAAAGAAACAACAAAAAACTCCAGAACTATTTATACTTTCCTCAGCTCTTTTTACCTTCAAACAGTGCCTGCTATTAGTGTCAAAAAAGGTGGGAAAAATCTAAAACTCAAACAGAATCAATGAACAGGTCCCAGAAAATTCTACATAAATAACAAGACAACTTGTATGTAAAAGCACTTAAAACAGCACCTAGCACACACGGCAGTATTATATTGTTGTTTTCAACTCTATTTAGAATTTGTGCTTCATAGAAAATGTCACACTGAAATAATACCTGGGTACCTACAGTGAACAAATCCTTAACTTGAGTTACACAGAAACAATGTCACTTACTGTGGGTCACTAAGCGTGTCAGGTGTTTCTTTTAGAAGATGATCCTGAAGCACCTAGAGAAGAAAAGAAAAGAAAAATCAAAGCCTTCAGATTTTTATTGAACTGTCAATGGTGAGCCAAGCACAGTTAAGTACAATTCATTTTTAAGAATCCCCATAAACCAAATCTTACCTCACAGCAAAATCAAGCAGCCAAACTGAAAGGTCTGAATTTTACTCCTTTTTCTTCTCATCAATCTCCAAGCTATTGGGCTATTGTTAGGACAAGATGGACAAGGTTTTTCTTCCCCACATCTCCACACACCTCCAGTTCCCATCAAGAGAAAATTTTCACTAAATACTTTTGGCCACTGATGTCTTTCTCTCTTTCTTCTTTCTTGAGACAAGGTCTCACCATGTGGTTCAGGCTGGCTTTGAACTCACTATGTAACCCGGGCTGGCCTTGATGGCCACTAGTTTCTTTATTTAAATGCACCTAGTGGTGCAGTGAAATACTGTAATTAGTAAATCTGAGAGAGAAATCAGATCTGCTTTCCTCTCCTTCTCTTTGAGAGCCTCCCTGCCCACTGACAACACGTGGCGCTCCATCAAAGAGGAACACCTAAGGTTTTTAAGCACTGAGTGGGTCTGCCTACTTCTAGAGTGCAGGACTGGAGGAGTGGAATGCATGGTTCCAGTATCAGCTTTATCCACGATAGCAACACTTAATATTTTCTGAGCATTTCCACATGCCAGGCATTACTTTAACCAGATTTTGTGCATAAATTAATTCTCATAACCATTCTGTGAAGTGCAAGTTAATTCCTGCTTTCTAGTTGAGGAAATGGAGGTTGAAAAACTTGCCCAAGGACACACACCTATATTATGCCAGAACCCAATGGTATGACAAACAGTCCATAGACAGTATGATATACAGTTTATAATGCTGGGCCGGGGATTTAGCTCAGTGGTTTCGCTGCCTGCTGCACAAGCGCAAGGACCCGAGTTCAATCCCTGGTACCAAAAAAAAAAAAAAACAGTTTATAATGCTGACATTTTGATCTTCCTTTTCCTAATGCCGCTATTGGTCAAACCCGATTATCTATAAGAACTGTGACACACACAAAAACTAAAGTGAAAATAAAATGGTGAAAATAATCTACATGTTCAATGATCAGTTATGCATGCACAACAAAGTCAAAACCAAGAATTTTCAACAGACACATGAACAGCCTAATTAGCATCTGATCATACTCATTGTCCAATCATACTTCAACATGGTTGTCCATACTTCAGTCATGCCTCTGCAATGAAGTCCCCCACAAAAATCAAAAAGGACAGGGTTCAGAACATTTCTGGACAGTTGAATGCATGGAGGTATGTGGGGAGGCAAAGAAACCATCTACGCACCAGGAGGGCAGCACAGCGATGAACTCGGGACCCTTCCAGACTTTGCCCTATGGAATTATCTTTTTTTTGGGGGGGGGCGGGATACTGGGGATCAAACTTGGGTCCTTGTGCTTGCGCAGCAGGCGGCGAAACCACTAAACTAAATCCCCAGGCCTTGGAATTATCTTTATCAGGATGATTATTTGTATCACTTTAAATATCCTCTATAATAAACTGGTAAATATAGGAGTATATTCCTGAGTTCTCTAAGCCAATCAGATAAAATAATCAAACTTGAGGAGGGAGTTGCAGGAAACCCAATTTGTAGACAATTAGTGTTTCCAAGGCTCAGACTTGAGACTGGGTCTGAAGAGGGGGCAGCCTCGGGGACTATGCCCTCAACCTGTGGCATCTGTCACTTTGCCAGGTAGAGAACATTAAAATTGAATTAAATTAGAGAACACTCAGCTAGCGAGGAGAAATCTCCCCACAATGAGATTATAGAAGTCTGTATTGACAGAACAAAACAGTTTTTCCCAACACACCTACAATGACAGGTAAAAGAACTACCACTGTAACATGGTAAGAAAAAAAAATAAAAAATGGATCCAAAAACTTACACTTATAATTTCTTCCTTACAAAACGCTATGGCTTCAGGTTGCTTGCTTGGAGGGAAGGCTGCTTCAAATGCATCTTTTGCAGCACAGGCAGCTGGTGTGTATGTATCACACTGAGCCATAAGCCAGTAACCCATTAAACTTTTTAAATACGGAGCCAAATGTTTCTTTACTTTAAGGATAAGTTTTTCAAAAGCTTGCTGAGTGGCTTCTCGAACCCGGCGATCATGATCCTATTGAAATATAAATATGATTTACAAACACATACAAATACAGAAGTTTTCAGATGTGCTACAAAGACCCACTATTAAGAATTTACTCATGTACTGTGCTACCTTAAAATCAATTTTTGAAAGGCTGGGGCATAGCTCATGCTTTGCATATGCAAGGCTCTGGATTCAACCCCAGTATCAAAAAAAAAAAGACAGTTTTGAAATACTGAGAATTTGGGGGTTTTTAAATCAGAATTTATATAAAATAATTAATTCTTCCTTTTTCCCCCTTTCCCAATGATATTATGATTGTATTCAATATATGTTCAGCGGGGCGGAGGCAGTGACAAAATAAAAAGACAAGCTGAAGCCTGGATTTTAAATAATTAAGCAATTCATTCTCATTTTCTGCAGCAAATATATAAGGGAATAAAATAATTACTAAATTTATTTTGAATGAAAACCTTCTGGATTAATTCTCTAGTAATCCAATTTCTTAAAATACATATTCTGTATATACTCTTTACAACACAACATGAACCAAAATGCATAACAATGTTGATACAACATTTCATAAACTTCACCAAAATCAATCACTTAGACTTGACCGTCTCCATGATTTCAACAAAAAATGTACAACTGAAATACACTAGTAGGGCCAGGGATTTAGCTCAGTGGTTCTGCCGCCTGCCTCTCAAGTGCAAGGTCCAGAGTTCGATTCCCACACCAAAAAGAAAAAAGAAAAAGAAAGAAAGAAACTAGTAAAGTCTTAATACTTACAAGTGAAATTTTACAGAAAATTCTTGGCCAATATGGAAGAACTCCTTTTACAATTTCTGTTTCTCTCTCTGTACACATGGTTCCAAATTCCTGCATAGCCTAAAAGTAATTTATTAACATCATTAAGGATTAATAGCTATAATTTTGGTTATTAGTTGTATTTATTTTATTTGAGAAGCTTAGTCTATTTTATTTAATGAGAGAATACATTATTTATATTTTGTGCTATATGGGATTAACATGAGCTCTTTCAGTCTATTACAGTAGAAACAAACTTTTTTACAGTTTTTTTTTAAAAAACTAAATGTATACAAAGAAAAAACCCATTCAAAATTACAGGATTGCCAGGGGTAGTGGGGCACAGCTGTAATCCCAGCACTAAGGAGGCTGAGGCAAGATTGCTATGAATAAAAGGCTAGCCTGGGCTACATATGGAAGTGAGTTCAAGACTATCCTGAATTATATAGTGAGACCCTGTCTCCAAAAACCAAAATGAATAATTAATAATAAAATTATAGGGTCAAGGTGAACATGATGGCACTCATCTCTAGCCCTGGCTTCTTGGGAGGCTGAAGTAGGAGTATCACCTGAGCCCAGGAGTTTCGCACCAAGCCAGGCAACACAACATGATTCTATCACAAAACATAAAAAACAAAAATTACATTCCCAAAACTGTACAGTCAAAATTCCAAAGTGGTTCAAAACAGTCCCAAGCAAAAAACTAATTCATAACAAATATAGGTGTCAAATAAGCTTAAGTCTATGTCACAGAAAAAGTACAACTGTAAGAGAATTAATCAATGATAAATTATTGGCCATTTTTCTTTACATTAAATATGCTAATGACATTTTTAACAGAAAGGTGTTCTTGATCATTTTATGAAAACGAGGAAACTTACTTTTAATTTCGTTATGACATCTTTCTTAGACAGTTTCCGCAGCACCATTCGGAAATCAGAATCTACAAGACTGTCAATTTCTTCAGCTCCTTGAATAGCAGGAACATAGCCTAGGTCACTCTGAGATGTTCCAAAGCCAATAAATCCAGGCACTGTTCCTTTTTCTTTGGCAAGTAGTTCTGCAGCTCGACCGCTATTTGAAGGCTAAGAAAGTAGGAAGAAAAAAGTCAGAGTCCAAGAAAGGTTCACAATTCAATTTTTCAATTCCTTGACAATTCTTATGATTATAACGAACTCTGAGGTTTTTCCCCTAGGCTAAAATTTCATCTATTGCAACATTCCCCAAAGATGAATATTTCTGTCATCAATAACCTATCAATAATGCTCCTACGAGATTTTTTCTGGTTTCCAAAACATTAGAACAATATTTTTTAAAACTGTGGATACAACCCATTTGTGTCCCATGATATCAATACAACAGGCCATCGAGAAGAAATAGAATAAAAATGTAAAAACCAGAATGTGTCACATGTAAGATTTTCATAAATACTAGTATAAGAAATTTTTATTTCTGACTTTCCTGTAAGTAGTATTTATATATACATATGCGTACTGTATGTGTACTGTGTGATCATGCAAAATTAATGAGGCTGACCTTTTCATTCATTCAACAAATACTTATTAAGCAATCACCATGGGACAGAGCTAAAGACTGCTATTTCCAGATTCAGAGTTCCTCAAAGGCAGACACATTTCCACACATCAAAACCTAGCCTAAGGCCACGGAGTTAGCTCAGTGGGGCCACACCTGCCTCGCAAGCACAAGATACTGAGTTCCATCCTCAGTGGGGGGAATGACAGACAACCTAGCCTAACCTCTTTGGGCTAAAATTACATCATTATGAACACAACAATCAACACAGTGGTCAAGATATGAGATTTACTACTCTTTTGTTTTGAACCATAGTCAGAGGTTAACAATACACTATACAGTTGTCTCCTAGTGGCAAAAGAGAGGTAGTTGTTACAGAGAAAGAAAATATTAGAATTATTGAAAGAAATTAACTTACTTGTTGTCATCTAAGGAGGAAATATCTTAGTTCAATGGTGGCAAACCTAAGGCACAAGTGTTACTGTGCTTTTAAGACAAAAGATGTGAATGTAGAGCTGTTTTTTTCCTAAACTAAAGCCTCAGTATTCAGATTTAATTGCAGTGTTGGCACTCCTGGCACTTGGTCTCTAAAAGGTGTGCCATCACTCCCTTAGTTCAACCACCGAGATGACATTACAACTCATCCACGCACATCTATTATTTCCAAGGATACTTGCAAAGAGTTATCCTAATATGTCATGTAAATTGCTCAGGCATAGAAATTGTTTTTGGAAACTCATTTAACAACGAATAATCAGGCCTACTATATAAACTGAACTGAGAGACCAGTAATGAAAAGATGTCCAGAATTACACTTTTTTTTTCAAAATGTGCTAGTTAAGTGTAATTCTAAAAAAGAATTTCCATTTTAAAACTTCAATAAAATGAACTAACATCACTCAGTTCAACTTTCTCACTCCTGGTACATAAATAAAAGAGCTCCAAAGGAAGTCACTGAATTATAACACAATTCTGAAACCTAAATATGGTGACAGGATGCAAGAATTTTATCTATAATCTGATTTGTAAACAATTTTATGAAATAGTAAAAAACTAATTACCACTAAAGAAGTTAAGGCTGCATTCTGATCTAGAAATTCCCGAGCTGACAGTAATAACTAGAGGCAGAAGGAAAGGTATGTTTCCAGTTTCCAACTTAAAAATAACAAAGTATTTTTAAATATACCAGTTGTATCTTTTATTCAAAATCTACTTTGAGTTTAAAATATAGTTACTATTATTATCTATTTGTAGGTGACTTACATCCATAGTTCAATAAAATTAAGAACCCTGATTCTATTTTTGGCAGTTAGTTCTTCATATATCATGCCTATCTCTATGTTCCTCCTGCCTAACCTTTATAGGTATTTGAGGTAGCAATCCTGAGTCTACAGTCGAAAGACCAAACTGAAGAATTAAAAGATCTTTCAACACCTGTTCTCAATTTTTCCTAATCTGATTTACTGCCACTCTTTCCTTACCTTGTCTCCCTACTTCCTTTCTTCTCTCAATTTTGCTGCCATTACGCATGATCCAGTCCCAAAGTGAATTCAAGGATCCTTGAATATGTTATATGCCCTTTCACAATTCAATCTTTGTATAATCTTTTCTCTCCATCTGAAAACTCTTCTTTCCTTCTCAGTACCTGACAGACTTCTCAAGACACTCATGTTTGTAACACTTGTCTCCCTGAGATCAATCACTGTTCTTTTCTGTTCTCTCATTTTCTCTGCTCATATTTGTATCATAATCATTTAATACATTATAGTATTTGGGCCGGGAATTTAGCTCAGTGGTTCCGCTGCCTGCCCTGCATGCACAAGGACCCGAGTTCAATCCCCGGTACCAAAAAAATTTTTTAATGAAAAATAAAAATACTTTATAATTATTTGCTTACAAACCTGTATCATCAAACTAACAGTTTAGGTACAGTAGATATCTGGGTATCATCCCAAGCAGTATTCAGTTTCTGCTCAATAACTGTCACTCTCTGAAGTTCAAATCCCAGCTCTGCAACTTTCTGGCTACATGAGCTTAGGAAAGTTAACTTCTCTAAATATCAGTTCCAGCATCTTTTTTTGTTTTGGTTTGGTTTATTGTTTTCTTGAGACAGGGTCTCACTATGTAGTGCAGGCTATGGAACTCAATGATCCTCCTGCCTCAGCCTCCGTATCTTTAAAGGAGCAGAGTAACTCATTACTTGGACCACTGTCAATATTAAACACGCGTTTTTAAGTCACCATAACAATAATTAATTAGAGCAAGAATCACCAAAGGGTGCTAAAACCATTAGGTGAAAGTTTGTGGGAGAATAATATAGTCTCAGACTACCAGTCCATATATTATTTGTTAGTAGTCATTGGAAAAATACAACTTTACAACAGACCCATCTTAATCAAGTCATTAAAGATATCACTAATAATGGACAAGTAAAAGTTATGTGTTCCTGGTACAATGCAGTGGAAAAGACCTATGATCCATGAACCATTTCTGCCATAAATTATTTAACCTGATTCCAATCATTAGGAAGCAATTAGATAAATTTAAATTAAGCAAGACCAATTGTTCCTGACTCTCCCAAGTTATATTATAAAAAACACCCCCAAAGGTGGGGGAATGTAAACTGTCCAGGTCAACAGGACCTAGATGACAGCAAAATAGTATAAATGATCCTTGACTGGATATCAAGTATTTTAAAAATGAAATCTCTTAAAGAATAAAAGAGATTATAGAGCGTGGTGGCACATGCCTATAATCCCAGCTCTCAGAAGGCTGAGTCAGCAAGATTGCCAAGAGTTCAAGGGCAGTCTAGGGTACATACTGAGTTCAAGGACAGCCTGAACTACAAAGTGAGACCGTCTCAAAACAAACATACAAAGAATATATATTTGAGAGAGAGAGAGAGAATTTACTGAGATGAATACAGAAATGTGAATACAAGACTGCATATTATATTTCAGTATTACACCCAAGTTAGTTTCTAATTTGGAAGCACCTAACCGAAAGCACTGGGAGCGTGCCAGACATGGACAAGGCACAGTACGATCAGTTTGGCTGGATGCAATGAGCGAGGAAGACAGAGTTGAAGATGAGGCCAGAGACTGAGACGGGTAACAAGCAGAGCAGAAACAAAGTATGCCCCATTAGGGCTCTGGCCTCTATTCCGAGGAATGTAGGGTTTCACTCTGGTTTCTGGGAAAAAGGAGAACAAGATCCGAGCTATCCTGCCTACCAAGCTCACGGTAACTTCTTCCCATCCAAGTCCTCCTCCTCCCAGCCCCCCACATCCAGGTAACCTTTCAGGAGAAGCAAACACCGAACCATCTGTTAATGAAAATCGTGGGTATGTGCCTCGGTTGGCACAGCTCTGGCCTGGAACATCTTTTCTCTCACAATTCTCCACTCTGCTCAAAGAACCCACCCTGCCCTCGGGGACGCACTCACCACAAAGAGGTCACACTCGCCTCTCACAGTCGCGCTCCAGACACACTCTGGCTCAGCGCCGGCGGAGACCAGAGCTGCGAGAGGGCAACCCAGGCGGCCCCCCCATCCCGCACTCACCCTCAGATTCCCCTTGGTCCGTTGCTTGTTCTTCCCGCCCATAGTCTCGGTCTCGGCTGCGAGCTCAGTCCGCCAGCCCCAGGTTGACACCGCCGGACCACAGCTTCCGGCCTCTAGCACCGGAAGGGGGCTCACTATAACAACGTTCCCCCGGTCCGCCCCTTCCGCCACCCGCCCCGCCCTCCTGCCCCAGACTTCCGTTCCCGATTCCTGCTGCAGCCCTGACCATCCATCGCCGTGGGCGTCACAATTAAACCCACGCCTACCTGAGTGTCGTCATTTCTGGCCAATAGGAAGTCAACCGTTCGCCCTGCGGTGCCAAATCTTGACCTGCGCTTTCAGAAACTGCGGTTCTTTGCTTAAGAGGGTTGGACCTAGGCGTCAGCTGTACATTTATTTTTAACGCAAGGGTGACAATACAGTTTTTGTGACTGCGAATGTAGAAGTGTTGAATGGGGGGGGTGAACTTTTAAAGGAATGCAATCATTAAGCATCCTCTGGGCGTTTGTTTAAAGAATAGACCCTCGTTGGGCATAGAGTTCGTGGTGGAGCGCTTGCCTAGCATGCGCGAGGTCCTGGGTTCAATCCCCAGAACTAGGGAAATAAAAGGCTCTCAGGTCCATCCCAGAACTACTGAATCAGATTCTTCATTTTAACCAGAATCCTATTCTTGTTCAAATTTTATACTAAACCGGGCATGGTGGTGCACGCCTGCAATTCGAATGCATTCACTGCATTCAGAAGGATGAGGCGGAAGAATGACCAGGAGTTCGAGGCCAGCCTGAATTACACAGCGAGACCTTGTTTTAAAAACATTTTTTTAGTACTAGACAATTATTCTCTCTAAACTTCTCCCCTTTTATTCTATATCAAAAGTATTATGTGCAGTTTAAAAAAAAAAAGTAATACGGCAGTTTCCATGGAAAGTTAAAATGTACAGATCCTGTTGTAACTTAGTGGCTCCGCCTTAGAATCATTCTAGAAAATCATAAACACTTGTGTGGCTGGCCATTTCTCATGTGCATACACTGTCACAATCAACTCCGTGATGATGGAGCTCTGTGAACTAGTTCTCTATCCAGGTAGCTTCCTTTTAAACTTCATCAACAGGGAAACTAGAGAAAAATTGGAAAGCAAGAGGGAGAAGGGCACAGCTCTGCTGGCATTATTCCAGTAGCAGCCCCTCAGGTTGGCAGCAGCACTTGGCTTTCATCTCCATCTTTTCTCAGTCACAGAATTGGTCTTACTGCACACTTCAAGGGTACCAGTAGCAACCAGGCAGCGCTCTGAGAGTGCTCAGTACTGTTGTGCCCAGATTACGAAGTCCCAAAGACCACCAGGAAGCCGATTCCGATGTAAGCACACGAGGGCCGTTTATTCAAGCTTGAGCAGGGGCTCCCAACCGTCACCGACGCAGCGGATCAGAATTGAGAGCCCCGAGTTCCAAATTAGCAGGGTTTTTATTGAGATTACAGCACGCTTCGGTCATTAGCAGCCATATGATTGGTTAACATTTAGCAAGTATGAAGTGTAGAATTTTGATTGGCTAGGCTCATTGGGGGTTGAAGGGGATTACGTTTAGGTTTTTACAAGAAAAATGGGGACAAAGGTTAGTGGTCTACTATCACGTACTGATGGTCAGCAGACATCTTGACTAATGGTCATGACCACCTTGTGTGGACAGTCAGCACGTTAACAGATTGCCCTATAGATAGTGGGCCCGGGACACTTGTTTCTAGGGCAAACAGATGGCTGAGTAATGAGCTTAGGAATCTTGAGTTACAGAGCATGTCTTTTGTCCCAGATTAAGCACATTTAATCATTAATTTGAAAGAACAAAGGAGACTGCTCCATTTTGGACAAAATGGAGTCATTCTGGTCTCACATTAGCAAAATGGAGTCACTTTTGGTCTCACAGTACTAGCTCCATCAGACGCCTCTCCTGAGCTCCTAATACAGCCAATAGTGCCCTTCCTCAGAACCCCCCCCCGGGGGGGGGCAGTATCATGAGATTCCTTATTTGAGCTTCAGAGGACCAGCAAGAGCCAAGCATCACTGAACTGAAATTTTCAAAAATCTTCTTCAAGCTTCTTAGTTCTGATTATCCCAAACTATTCTTTTCTTCCTTTCATAGCTCTAGAGATAGTAGCTGCTGCCTGTAGTGATGATCTTTGTGTTACGTCAGTATTCTCTTTTAGCTTCTAATCAATTCTATTATTGAATGCTTTCTCTTCAAATCACTGAAGTGCATGCTCAAGGACTTGGGTTCAAAATCCCCACTCTAAGTAAGTGAATAAATAAATAAAATGACTTTTACTTTCCTTTGACCTTGTCTGAAAAATCCACACAAAGAGACATATTGCAGAATTCTCACTAAAACTTTGTAATAGAAAGGAAATTGTAAACAGCTTAATCGGAGAATAGCTAAATAAATGGTTGGGATCCAGATTATCCCCCCAAAAGTCTCATTTTGTTGAAGGCTTGGTTTCCATTCATTGGGATTTAAGGAACTGAATTAGTCATTCAATGATGAATTCATGGCTCATCAATGAGGTTACTAGGAGGTGGGGTTTAATCCAGGAAGCAGTTCACAGGGCATGCCTTTAAAGGGAAAATATTTTCTCTGGCTCTTTCCAGCCCTCTGCTTCCCAATTGTCATGAGGTGAGCAGCTTTCTGCCACCATGCCTCTCTGTTGTGATGTTCTGCCCTGCCACAAGCCTACAGTAATGGAGCCAGCTGACCATGGACTGAAACATCTGAAACCATAAACCAAAATAAGCTTTTCTTCTTTTATGTTGGGTATGTATTTTTTCCTGGAAATGGAAAGCTGATCAATATAGTATTCTTTAGGATTTTAGATGGAAGTTAAGATGACTGAAGTTCATCTCTACATACATAGGAATAATTCTAAGACATTCTTAAATAAAAAAGAAATGAATTATATGTATAGTATGAAACCTTTTGTGTTTTTGATCATCACAAAACTATTATATGTGTCTTGTATGGACACATGCATATTATGTAAACACACTGAAAAAAATCTGCAATGATACATACTGATCTGATAATTGTACTTACTCCTTATCAAAAGAGGTGGCAAGGAAAGAGACTGGGGTTAGTAGTTATAATCAAAGGAAATTAAGTCTTGTTTGTAAGACTTTATTTTATCCAAGGAGAATACATTCATGTATTATGTAATTAAACTCAAATATTTTGAATAATTCTTATATCATGGCTACTTAAAGCGCCGTATCCTCATTCCCAAGAGTTATATAATAGAGTTCAACAGTATCACTGATAATTTGAGTGCCACACATTAAAAATGCTACAGAAACGAGAGATTAGCATGTATTTTAGTAATCAGAAAGACTTCCTGTATGACAACTTCAGCCCAACACTTGGACAAAATTAGGGAAAAAAAAGAAAGGAAAAATATTCAAGACTAAAAATAAAATGGAATATAGAGACAGTGAATCAAGGATTAGTGTGGATTTTGGAAAGAGCAGACAAGAAACTTGCCTGACTTCATTATAGAGCTGTCAAGGAAAAATAACTTGAAGGAAAGATCAGGGTGATGCTCTACCCTTTTTATGAATTAGTTCCTAAATTCTTCCTGTCCTTGCTTAGAAATATCGAATAATTTCATTTTCTTCTGTTCCAGGAACACTGCCTATCTTTCCTAGCGTTGGACCCATCTCTCTTGATACAGTCACTCAGCTACTCAAATCTCCAAACAAATCTCTCTTAAGTCTTCCTAGAGAACCATTCTATAACTGGTTTGAGAGCTTGAAAATATATTGGTTATTTAACAATTCTTCATGCTTCTATTTTTGACCTAGACTATACCCTTTAAAGGAGAGGCTGTCTTAAACCACTGCAGTCTAAACCTGATGCCTAAGTGGATGCTCACAAATTTGATTTAATTGATTTATACAATGTTTCAGAAATCAGAATTGTTCATATCAATACATTAGATGACAAAAGAAAGAAAACATTTCTGGACAAAAGAACATTAAAAATGTTTAGTTTTGTCAAAATACAAATGTTTTATGAAAAAAAATTTCAGTGCTTCTAAAGTTAAGATTTGAAACTGTCTTCCTCATTCATGATTGCTATAGTCTCAATTTCATAGATCAACAGTTTTGCAACAGAATTATAGCCTTTTCTCCCTAAGAAAACATTGTGAATGTCATACAAAAAAAAGTCTGATGTTAAAATAATCTTACCCATCCAGGTAAGTTTCTGAGAGTGGAAATCAAACATCCAGTATGACATCCTGTATGACAACTTCAGCCCAAAGCTTGGGCAAAATTAGAAGAAAAAAAAAGAAAGAAAGAAAGGAAAAATATTCAAATATATTCTGCATTCTACTTTTTTTTTAACTTTTTTGATTTTTAAACTTCTATACCAGAGGACATTTGAAAATCATGACCACATCCTATGGCATGTAAAAATAATTCACTTGTCTGAAATTCACATGATGTCCTGAGTCCATTCACATAAAATATTTTTCCTCTGGGTATGATGGTACATGCCTGTAAACCCAGCCAGTATGGAGGCTGAGGCAGGAGGATCACATGATTAAGGCTAGCTTGGACAACATGCAACATCCTGTCTCAAGATATTGAAGGGAGGGGAGGAGAATAGAAAAAAAAAGAAATAAAGGTACATCATGTACAGGCACAAATTCCCTGTGATGACTGTGATCATTATGTATATCTCAACTGTACCAACAAAATTAAAATTAAAAACAATTTTTAATTAAAAAACGGGCCTGAGAATGTAGCTCAGTAGTAGGTCCCCTGGGTTCAATTTTAGTAAAACAAAAATATTTTTCCCTTTAAAATTGAAATTTTGCTTTGCTTTTCCATTTCATTATGAGTTGTAATGTATGAAGACTTGGGTTCAATCCCCAGTTACAACACTCCTGCAAATTAAAGCAATATATAGGTGTCCTTAGAGGAAGAAGACTACAAAAACTTATTCCAGGCATAACCAGGGAGAATGGTGGATAGGATATCACAATCCAGATGTCAATTAAAATCTAATAATGTGGGGTTGGGGATTTAGCTCAGTGGTTTCACTGCCTGTCTCACAAGCGCAAGGTCCCAAGTTCGATACCCGGTACCAAAAAAAAAAAAAAAAATCTAATAATGTAAACCTAATGTGCTTCCAACCAAATTCTAAGATTTTTTTTACACATCATAAAACTGTTCCAAAAGGTTACCTGAAAGAATATATATGATACAGCCCAAAGCACTTTGAAAACCAAGCATAAAAATTTTGTATTCTACCAACTTTAAAATGTGAAATATTGTCATAACAATCCTAAAAGGCTGCCTAGGAATAAACAGTGAAATAAAACAAAAAATCCAGAAATAAATCTATATTCAGGCTGTGATAAAAATGGCATCTCAAAATTCTGAAAAACATGATTTCCCCAATAAACACCATTGGTATAGCTAGTAACCTTTTTTTGTTTTGTTTTGTTTTGGTACCGGGGATCAAACTCAGGTCCTTGGCACTTGCAAGGCAGGCAGTGACACCACTGAGCTAAATTCCCAGCCCGACAGCTAGTAACCTTTGTTGTGGTGGTGGTTTGAGGTTTTCTGAGACCCAGTCTTGCTGTGTAACCCAGGCTGTCCTCCAACTCATTATGTAGTCTAGGCTGGCCACTGAGCTCTCATCCTCCTGCCTCAGTCTCCTGAGTGGTGGCATACATGAACTCAAGTGTGATACCACACTCAGCAACTGATTGATTGCCCTTTGGGGAAAATAAATTAAACACTTCATGCAACACCCTGATGAACATTAAAAATGAAGCCATAATATGTCCTAAAAATACAAAGGCATTTATGGGCGTGCTAAACACCTTCAGAATAAGGTTAAGACTGAAAAAGAGCAGGACTGCAATTGGCAGAAGTACACAAGTGGACTTAAATTACACTGCAAAATTTTATTAAATTAAGTGGCATGATTATGGCTGTTCATTGTTTTATTCTTCTCATCTTTTTTGTACAAGGTGAATACTTCATAGAGAAACAGGATGAATGCTATTTTACAATAAGATTCTTCTTTTTTTTTTTTTTGGTACTGGGGATTGAACTCAGGACCTTGTGCTTGCAAGGCAGGTGGTGGAACCAGGGAGCTAAATCGCTGACCTACAATAAGATTCTTTATAAAACACAAATAAAATATTGTAAAATTATATATGTATGTGTTTAAATTACCCTGGAATAGAGAAAGGTTTCTCAATGCTCCAAAGACAGAAAACTGTAAAGAAATGATTGATTTAAATACATTAAATTGAAAAGTGGTTTTTTTTCTATAAAAAAAACAAGTAGACAAACTTGGGAAATATTTGCAACATTAACTAACATTTTTTTGTTTGTTTGTTTGGTTTTTTTGGTACCGGAGATTGAACTCGGGACCTTGAGCTTGCAAGGCAGGCGCCGGAACTGAGCTAAATCCCTGGCCGGAAACATTTTATACGCCATTTAAAATTTTATAAATATTTTAAGCCTGTCTATATAATTAAAATAAAAGATAAAGTGACAATTGACAAAAGAAATGCAACTGACCAAACTGATTAAAATGTCAAATGTAATTGACTAAAATGATTAACCTACACTTAAAGTCAATGAAGATAACATACAGCAATGTTAGATTTTTTCATCTATTATATTGGTAAATTAATAATCAATGTTAGTAATTATCTAGGGCGAAGAAAATTTCAGAAGCAATTCAATTCTAATTTCTCAACCTTTCAGAAGTACTTTTGTCCAAACAAATATATTGTTCATTGTGAATTTCACTTCTATAAATGTAAACAGAAGAGATAATAATAAATGCTAGTAGCGTTTTGCTGGTAGAAAAAAAAAAAGACAAACCAAAACCGGAAAACAATATGACCTCATGATCAAAACAATGAATTGCTGAACTGAATTAGACCGACAAAAAAATCCCATCTTGGCCAGGACAACTCAATCTAATACATTATAGTATTTAAAAATATTGAAAAATATTTAATGTCACAGAAATGTTTATTACCTAGGGTTTACTAAATAAGGTAGATACAAAGCAGCAAGGAGGATTTGTGTAGATTGAAAACATAACATGTATGCAAAACTATATTAGAAAATAAAATGTAAAAACAGTTTGATATTGTCTTCTTAGGTACTGGATTATAGGTGATTTTTAAGTCCAATTATGTCCACATTTTTTATAATGATGATCTTTTCTAATAAAAATGTCTTATGTAGATGGCTGGGGGGAGGCAGATTTACAAAATTCCAAATGTGGAAAGTCCCTATGGGGAAACACTGATAGCTTCCATTTCCAGGGTTCTCTGGGTAAAGTCCGGGCCGCCTCTGTGGACTATGAGGCGCCAGCCAGGTTCCCCTGCACTGGGCACCATTCCTCCAATTTTTACCCCTGCAGCAACCTCTAGGAAATCTCAAAGGAATGTGGTTTTAGGCCTTTTTTTCCCCCCGAAAGATAGTAAACGTCCAAAAATTTAAAATCCCATCTTGGGCATAGCAATACACGGCGTGACGACGAGGTGACCACAAGCTGGGGCCGTCTACTTCTGCCCAGCGGGGGCCAAACTCTCATTCTGTCCTCGTCAGACAAGGCGCATGCGCGCAGGCTCACGCGCGCCCCCTCTCGGCGCCTGGTGGCAGAACGCGGGGCCGAGAAGGGAGAAGAGTGCTGTCAGTCAAGGTCTGCAGCTCCAGGTGCTACGATGCACCCGTAGGAGCCCATCTTCCAGGCTGGGCTGAAATCTTCCCTTGCCTGGCTCTGCCCCTGGCAGGGGTTCGCCTTTGACTTTTAACCCAGACGCCAAAAGACGTACATCCCTCTCCTGATCCGATTGCATCAGATTGACAGATTGTGTTTAAGTGAAAGGCTCCTTGCGTCCCTTTGCAGAATTTTCAGACTCACTACTTAACAGTTGTACTCTTTGCTAGGGGACAGGAAGTAATACCTAAATTCCTTTAACTCTTGGCTGCCTGGCAGTTTTTAATGGAATTTCACCAACGATGTATTTTTGGTGGATTCCCGGGATATACATCTTACTAAAAAAAGTGTAAGTTTTGATTTAAGGGCTGAAAAGTAATCAGTTCACAGCACAGATAGTGTTTTTATAAAAATGTAGTTTGCTTTAATAAATTAATGTGCAGGCAACAAGACTGGGTTTGCCTGTTATTCAACATTCAAATAATTTGGAATTTGGGGATTGGTTTTAGATTTCGTTTTATAGGACTTTAAAATATTATTTGTAGTGTGTCATGGTAGCCCACACCTGTAATTCCAGCACTCTGGAGATGGAGGCAGGAGGATGGAGGGGAGTTCAAGGCCAGCCTGAGCCACATAATCAGTTTGAGGCCAGCCTGAACTACACAGCTAGACCATGTATCAAAAAAAAATTGTTACTTTTACAAATAAGTAAATGTACCAACTCCCTATGATGAATGTAATCATTACGTATTGCAAATTTATATTAATAAAAAATTTAAAAATTGACATGTAGCCAATGTTTCCTGACTATGCTTTTGTTTTCTAAAGAAAACCGAACTTTAAAAAATGATTTGATTTGGGATTAGTAGTTTCAAGATTTATCATTATAGATGATCCCAGTTCAAGTTACTATAATAGATTAATAAAATGACAAATTCTCACCATGGAACAAATTCATACCCAATCATACTGAACAATTTTACATTTAACAGTATTATCTATCAAGTATATAATTATTGGTAGAAGTCTAAGAAAGCTATATTGTTTGTACTTTAACATTTAACTACATTTTACAATAGCTTTTATTATGTCTTATACAACATAGGCAGGACCATCTAACTTTCTATTTCCTCCTGATGACTAATACTTCTATCTATTTTCAAAGGTATTTGTTAATCAAGAGGTTGGAAAATCCATACTTCTCTCACTATGTCTTTTTTTTTTTTCAGTACCAGGGATCGAACTCAGGACCTTGTGCTTGCTAGGCAAGTGTGGTAGCACTGAGCTAAATCCCCGGCCCTCTCACTATGTCTTAATATTCATAAATATTTAAATTTGACAAGCGGTCTGTCTTAGGAAAGAGAACTTACAAATCTGCTTAATTGTACACAGCAATGTCTCTTTTACTAGGCTAATATACAAAGACTGAAAGTTTTGTAGTTTAGTTCTGCCAGAAGTAGTATGTACATCATCTTGTCCTTTGGGTGGCTTCTAGGGATGTCAGATTTTACCCAGATCTCATAGTGGCCAGAGAAGTTATAACTCTAGACACACAGCTAGTTGGGGCTGGCTATATCCTGGCAGCCCGGAAAGAACTTGTATTTCCAGGACAAGTGACAGGGCTACCAAGAGGTGGACAAGAAAGGGAAGAGTCACATCAGCATGGGCACTGTGCTGATTCACATTTGTATTTACCCACCTTTTCTTTTCTTTTCTTTTCTTTTTTGGTACCGGCAATCAAACTCAGGGCTTTCCAGATAGGTGCTGCATCGCTAAGCAACATCCATTACTCACCTTTAAATTTAATATCTACCCATTTTACCTTGCTCCATTTTATTCCTTCTGACTTCTACATAGTATTACATTATGTGCTGTATTTTACTTAGAGATTCCCTCAGAGATAGGCATATATTTTGCTTCCAACTAACAAATACAATGTATTGTCTCACTTCAACTCTACCCAAGTGTGACTCTTCAAAGAATAGCCAGTACATGGTAGCAATCTGAGTACTAGAAATTAGTAAGTATTTAATAAATGTTTTTGGAATTGATTAATGGAGGCCTCAAAAATCAGGCAGTGTGATTGGATTGTAGGTCAATTTACCAAATATAAATTCACAAAAGCCATTTCCAGAGTGAAAAGTTTATCAAAATCCAATTTGCCAAAAGCAGATTCTCTAAATTACCAAATGTGATGAACTGGTGAGCGAGAAAATGAGAAATGAGCTGCAAATCTATTTAAGAAAAACTTCATGATTTGTGTACCAAATGGCTAACATAGATACGAAACTAAACCTTTGAAAAACTCTGTTTGATAAACTAGCTTTCAACCACTAGTGATGAGTACGGAAATTTAAACAAAGCTGGTTTTATTTTATAGTAAGAAGTCTAGAAATTGCCAAGGGCTGATGTTGTGTCAGCAGCCCAGCAACATGGAGTGTGACATCTCTGTGAAGCTCCGGGTCCATCCTCCCATTGTGGCTGAAAGGACTGTTCCAGTCCCAGCCTTCACTTTAGTATTTGTGGCAGGAAGAGGGAGAAAGATGACTTAGGTGCATGTATCATTTTCATCTCGGAAAAAATGTTTTCCCAGAAATCTGTCAGTTGTGTTTTCAGGGCACCAGTGGCTGCAACAGAGGCTGGAAGGGTGAGCAGACAGCCTTCAGGGTTCTTTAGTGAAGGCAGATTAAGATGAAGGGTATGGAAAGCAGCTGGCAAGGTGGGCCACCAACATATGTAATTAATTTGTCTTTCAAAATGGGTAGCTTATATGTCAAGAAATTTCTATTGATAAACTAAAGACTATACTTTGAAACTCAGTTCTGATTTCAATCATGACTTATTTTTTACAGTTTCATTGAAACTATCCTATTTTCACGTTTTATTTTTTCCTCCTACCATTCTAGAACGGGATTAAAACTAATCTTTCGAGAGAGTGGGGGAAAATAATCAAGAGGCCAACAGCTACGAAATACTTTCAGCCACTCTTCCTCAGTCACTGTCCCTCCACACCAAAGAAGATCTGGAAAACATCCCCACATCCTTTGGCATTTAAGAACTGATACAGCTGACCAAAGTCCATGTGATTTCCTTTGGCTCCATTAACACTGAACACTTTTTCCTCAAAAGTGGAAAATTTTCTTTGTCTTTTCATTTCATCATCTGTACCATCAAAAGGAATGTCTTCTCGATGACGAACTAGAATTCTCTTCCAGTTTAATTTTCGGAGTCTGAAAGAAATTTTCAAAGCACAAATTTTCAAAATGAGTTGTGTGTATTCTAAAGCACTGAAAAGAGCAGTTATCAGTGCCTTTTTCTGTAAGTAAAGAAGTCTACTTTTATCTCAGAGGGGTTCATTTTGATCAAGTATGAGTCTGGTCATGATGCCACCCCCATACTCAATTACTACAATTATTACAGTCACCTATCAGTATTCTAGAAATGTGGAAAACTACTCAAGGAAATTCTCAGAAAATCGTTTAAACTATCAGAAGAGAAATGAGAAGACTAGTGGTAATTCTAATGCTTCTAGAAAGTCCAATTTCATAGGCTGTAAGTTTACAACATCAGTAAAAGGAGGGCAGAATCAGATCCATGGAAATGGATGGGATTTTAGTATCCTGGGCAGGGTAGGGGGGAATGACTCCAACAAAAATTTGGAGAATGTCTCCTACGAGGACCGTGTAAGGTGAGGGGTGTAATGCTGGCTATATGTGATTTCTGCCTTACCCACTGACTTGAGATTGAATTCCCATGGATATACACCCTGTGGGACATACATATTTCCACATTTCTAGTACCTTCTTTTGTATTATGCTTCTTGATATGATTTACAAAATATGTGAAAGCAAACCTTGACCAGAACTCTTCACAGGCACTTTGTGGGCCTTCCACACAAACAACACCAGGTTTCCCAGGCATGCTGAACCCAGACAGGGAAAGCTCTTTTGTCCACTCTAAAATATTCTTTCTCTTCCATTTACTGTAGATGTGATGGCTGTAGATCCAGAGCCTCGTAAGAATGAGATCGGCTGGCTGGACTGTACTTTCTGTGGTGGGGGAAGAGAGGGCATCTTTGCTGACATAACCAGAGGCATGTTCTCGAACCCACTCTGTGGCATTCAGTACACAGACATCTCCAAGACAATTCTTCTTCAAGTAAGCAGTCAGATCTAGGTTCAGCTGAGATTGCTGCAACCTACTTAATAATGGTGATCTGATTGAAGAGACAAGGAAAGAATTTAAATCAATTTTTTTGGAAGACAAAACAAACTTAAGAATTGCTTTTGTTCTGTGACTAATTTTGACCTCTAAAATTGGCCAGCAGTTCTGTAACATACCTGACGGTAATTTCAGGCAGGGCTTCAGGATATTTAAAGGGAAGAATGCAGGCCAGAGAAAACATCACCTGATTTAAAAAAAAAAAAAGCAGCAGCAGAAGGAAAACAAAAGAAGAAAGATGTTGTAAGACTTGTTTTAAGTCTTGATATGTTTTAAGCCTTCCAAAAACAAAACTGAGTTACCATTACTTCCTCAGATATGTGCAGGTTCATATTAATAGTAAAGTAAACTTTTGAAGATCGCCCTTCCATTGTCCTCTTCTCAACACAGTCTTTCAGTTCTGCTAAAGCCAGCTGGTCATTGACTATGAGCTCACTTTCACCAGGGAACATACTGGCCAGCAGGTCTAACTCCGAGAGTTGGGCCTCTGCCTGCTCTATTGCAGTCATTTTCGGGCATCTGTAAGTTTCTAAGGAGGTAAGGATAAGAGAAACAATTTATATGCACAATCTTGGGAGAACTCAATCGATCACCATGGGTACTTAGTATAAAGGTATTTGATTTCTTCATAAAAATGCAAAATTTAGCTGGATGCACTGGGTGCATTCCTATAATCCCAGCACTCAGGAGGCTGAGGCAGGAAGATTGCCATTAGACAGTTCATCTGACATTTCCACCTACAACAATGAAAAATTTCATTGAAATAAATTATGTGGTCAGAGAGCTATAAGATCCTGCAGAATGGGAAGAGACAGAGGTGAGAGTGTGTCTTCACTCTTCCTTCCCCACTTCTGCACGACTCTGATAATGATTTTGCAGGCAGCCCTTGCTCTCTGGCTTCAGCAGGCCTTGTGGACCTAACAGGTTTATTTGAACTTGGCCACCTCTCTGTAAATAGCCCTTTTATTCAACAGTCTCTTCAGAGTTCCAAAGCTGAGTGTGGGCCTGTTTCTTGCCATTCTTTGGCTACTCCTAGCTGGACTCTACCTCTAATGTTGCTCAGCTCTCGCTGCACAATGTCATCACCATGACCTCATGCATTGCTCCAGCAGAGGCAGAAGGAGGCAGGCAAGACGGCATGGACTGTTAACAGGAACCAGCTCATGGTACTGGTGGTTGGGCAGCAGTGCTGCTGGCTGGGAACAAGGAGTAGGACCGTGTTAGACTTCCACAAGGAAGGCAAGTGGACACTCTAACAGCTACCCGTGGAGTGACTTTATCCACAATGCTACTGCACACTCAGCGGCACAAAAGGCCACCATTCTGAGAGTGGATCAATCATCAAGCTCACAGAAGTGTGTCTTTCTCCTCACGCAGGCCTACTTGGTTTCATCCAGTATAGTTACAGCATTTCTTTAATGTTAGGAAATGGCATTGGCCAGTGATTTAGCTCATTTGTTAGTGATAATTTAAAAAATTGTTTTTGAGACAGAGTCTTACTATGTAGCCCAATCTGCCAGGCTGGCCTTGAAGACAAGATCCTTGTGTCTCCACCTCCTCGGTGCTGGGATTCATGTGTGTGTTATCATGCACAGCTTTCTAAATTTTTATTTATTTTTTCAGTACTAGGGATTGAACTCAGGGCTTCAGAATCATTTTTAATTTTGAGACAGAGTCTTGCTAAGTCACTAAGTTACCCAGGCTGGCTTTAAATTTACCATCCTCCTGCCTCAGCCTCTGGAGTAGCTGGGATTACAGGTGTGCACTAACACAGGTGTGCACTAATTACAGGTGTGCACTTGTTATATGGTACTTTTAAAGAGCAAAAAAAGTTATTTTACTCAGAAATTTATTTATTTATTATTTTTTTTGGTACCAGGGATCGAACTCAGGTCCTTGAGGTTGTGAGGCAGGTGGCGGAACCACTGAGCTAAATCTCCAGCCAAGAAATTTAAATTGCTTACAGGAGATAGTAATTGTAGAGGGTTTTGCTAAAAACACATTAAGCTGAGTTATGAGAGTGACTAAATGTGGGTGTTTCATTCGTGAGGATTAACTGGAAAAGAAACACTCTTGCACACATTGGGCTGTCTCCACAGACCAGAGTATGAATTACTGTCAGCACTTCATTCCTAATCCCAGTGTGCCTTTAACTGTTGTCCTTAAGACACCTTTTACTAGGTTGTCAATGCTATGATGAGGAAAAAATTACAGAAGGCATTTGGTGGTTAAGTAGGCTATTGAAATGCTGAGTAACACAAAACAAGCTTTACAGGTTTCTCTAGGTTTTTTTAGGGTGGCCATAGCTACCTGTTATATATATTTTTTCCCCTTTTGAGACAAGGTCTCGCTATCTAGTTCGGGCTAGCCCTGAATTCACTATGTAGCTCAGGCTGGCTTCAAAATCAGGGCAATTCTCCTGCCTTACCAAGTGTGAGGTTACAGGCATTCACTGCCACGCCCTGCTGGCGGCCAGGATATTCACGGCTATTATCCCAGCACTTAGGAGGCTGAAGCAGGAGGATCAATGTGAGTTTGAAGCCACTCTGGGCTACACAGTGTGTTCAAGGCCTGATTGACTTATATAGTGAGATCTTGTCTCAAAAAAACAAAACATAAAAAGTTTTTTAAAAACACCCCAAATATATGTGCCCAATGAATAACTTATGAAGATTGACAAGTAGGGCATGGTAAGACACACCTGTGATTCCAGCGCTCTGGGAAGCTGAGACAGGAATGCAAGTTCAAGTCTAGACTGGGCAACTTACTGATTTAGCAAGACCCTAGCTCAAAAAAAAAAAAGACGATTTAGGAAGATAACGAGGCTAAGAAATAGCTGTGGGATAGAAGTGAGATTGAACACAAGGTTGTCAGGAGAAGGGACTGTGGGGACTCAGAGGAACGAAAAAGGAAGCCAGGTATTTACCTAGGCAGAGCTTTTCTGGCAAAGGGAAGAGCACGTTCAAAGGCTGGGAGGAGGAGGGCGCAGGGTCAGGTGGCTGGAGCAGAGTAAGCTCGGACAGAGGAAAGAAGAGGAGGTTGGTGAGGAAATACGGGGTAGTGTGTGAAAAATCTATGCGTGCTACTCTAGAGAACAACATCAGAGAAATCAGGGAGGGCAGAGGAGGACTGCAGTGACCTGGTGGCAGTGATGGTGGATTGGGATAGCAGTGGTAAAGGCAGTGTAATGTTCAGGCTCTGGACACAGAATATAGAGCCAACACGATTTACTGATGAACGACATGGAGTGGATAAGAATGACCTCAATGGTTAAGCTACTAGAAGGATGGATTTGTCATTTATTTAGATGAGGATGACTGTGGAAATCTTAAGTTGGTTTCCAACACATCAATAAAGTGCCTATGAAGGCAAATGTTAGGGAGAGATGTCCAGAAGGTACAAATACAATTATAGGGTCTACCACAGATTCTGCTGGAGCTATAATCTGGGGAGTCACCAACACCTTAACCCCTGCATCATTTTGCTTAAAATTATCCACGGAGTGAGAGAAAATGGGAAAGGGTTCCATATGAGTTAAGGGTCTGGAGGATGAATTGGAACACAGGACGCAGCGACTCATGCACGGACAACTACGGGAGAGATGTCACAACTAAGTCATTTACTTGACAAATTATTTTCATTGATTGTATCAGTTCCCCAAAGAAACTTTCCAAGAGAATTTCCGGACTCAAGGTTTCAGTGATTGCTGTAAAACTTTAGTTTCCGGAGTGGTGTCATTTCTCCTCGCAGATATTTTCTATTTCTCTCTTTAACGCCCCCCCCCAAAAAAACCCCCAAAACAAACAAAAACAAAAAAACAGCAGGGCACATTCCCTATTGCCCAAACTGCGGCACCCTCTAAAAGTTGTCCTACACACATGCGCCGTCACACCTGACACCTGATTGGGCCCGCGAGCGTTCATAGGCGGAGCCAGGAAAGGAAAATTTTGACCAATGAGCAGACGGGCAGCGCAAAGGAAGGCGGTGCCATCGCGAGGGACAGGTCCCGGATGATGGTACTGGACCCCTCCCTCTGGCCGTAGAGACTCCCAGTCCCTCTTACCACTCACTGGTGCCCCATGGAAAACTCACCTACAGCGGTGGCTGCCTCACTGCCGTAACCCCAGGTTTCCTGGCTACACGTAAAGCTCTTGAGACAAAATCCTATAGCAAGGGACCGAAGCTCATAAATCATTCCCCTAGGGCGACAAGGGGGAAATGAGAGCGCTTTTCCAGCTGGCGCATGCGCGCGAGTCCCGGAAGCCGGAAGTGAACTGACCTCTTGGCGGACTCCTAGTCATGTTTTCCTGGGGCTTTCAGTACCAGAGTTCATTTACTTGCTCTGTGCTGCTCAGTTGCAGTATTCATTTTTACACACTTCCTTCCCAACCAACATCGTTGTCATTTTCCACCTGCTGCTGCTGTCTGTAGACACTGCTTAGTGGAGGCCTGGGTTGACCCATTAAAGCTCCTTGAACGCGAGCATGGTTTCAGATCGGTGTAGGCAGGTGTGTTGGGGAGGAGAGTAACAAAAATAATCTTACGTGTACAGGGCAGAATTAGCGTAACCGAAACGAAAAATATCCCTGTCTTAACTATGCTCTACAAGTAACATTTAAGAAAGATAACCGCCTAGAGAACTCCCAGCCTTAGACATACAGATGGATTTAAATAACTCCATGGTTACACACGCCAGGGAACACTCCCTCCTCCGTAAAAGCCTGGGAATCGGTGACTCAGAACTTCCGGCGCGGCTGCACGCCGGCGCAGATTGACTGGCTCGAGCCTGGGGACCCAGGCCGAGTCACTTCCCATAATGCCGCGTTCCGGAAGTTGCTGCTTTCTACGGTCACTGTGGGTTCAGCTTTGTCGCTGTCTCTTCGACACCTGGGCGAAGACAGAGCTGGCTACCCAGACCAAAGGTCCATTTAGATGATGCAGTTATGGGCGCTGTCGCCGTGGGTGAGTTCTGGTCCTACCGACTCGCTGTCGCCAATCGCCTAACTTCTTGCTTTCGGAGAGCCTAAAATGTCTGCCCCAAATTTGTTCTCTCTGGAAGGCCTCTCTCTTTTAAACATGTTACACTGTCTCTTCCCGTACCACGTTCTCCTTGGCTGCACGTCCTGTCACTTCCAGGAGCTGGTCAATGAGTTGCTGTTGCTGGCGTCCTCCTCGACCTGTGGACCCAGAGTTTCCCCCGTGGGTGCCCACTAATTGGCAGGGGAGGGAAGGAGAGGGAAGAAGAGTGAGATATGGTGTGGCAGGCGCCAGGAGAGGAGGTGGGTGGCTGGCCTCGAGACAAGGAGCTCCCTGTGCCTTGAGCTGGGCTTGCAGCTGCTTCCATGTGGTTAGTAGGAAAATTAAGGTCGGTCACTTATCCGGTTGAATGTTCCTAGGACTTCTGCAGTATGTGCAAATGTGAAAACCACATTTAAGAAAGATGTGCTGGTAATGTTTTCCACAAACTTTAATTTGTAATAGAACCGAGTATCAGAGATAGGGCAGAGAAAGAAAGGAATTGGATTAGCATGAAACCTGGCAGGTCTAGGTTTGATTTAAATTTTTGTTGTTGTTATTGTTGTTTTGTTTTTTTGAGACTCGCCGTGTAGTCCAGGCTGGCCTCAGACTCACTATGTAACCCAGGCTGGCCTCGAACTCGCCGAGATCCGAGTGCCGGGATTAACAGGCGTTCACCACCACGCCAGGCTTGATTTAAATTTTTGTGTGGAGTCTTGTAAAGAGTCATTTGACTAACATGTTAATTCTTACCCAAAGATTCACCTGAGAAATCTCATAGATTTATTGGTGTTTTATAGCTGGTGACAGTACTTTCTTTTCATGATTCATTAGTTGCCTTTGTAGTTGTCACATTTACTGGAGTTCTTTCCACAGCACTGAAATGATCCCTTATGTCTTCTGCCTGCAGCAATTACAATTCGCCTTTCAAGTTTCCCTTTGGAGTTTGAGTTACTGCAGTCCTCATTACCAGATTTACTAGTATTCTCTTCAGTACTGAAGACTTTTGACTTCATTCTTCACCTTTTTCTTTTTCGCCAGAACTTGTTTACTCAATTCCTATGTACCTACCTTTGCACCTTGTAATCATCTTTTATGCCTCAGGTACTATTCTACTTTTCTATTTCAACTCAAGAAGTATTATCTGAGAACCTACTATCTTCTAACACTATGCTGAATCCTATAGGCAATCAGAAGTTTGGCCTAGAAACATTTCTTTCTCCTAAAAATTAAGATTGCAAAGAGAAAAATAACATTTTCAGATTAAAGAATTAAGTAGTTCCCCCGTAGTATCTCACAAAGAGAGAAGATGAATAGTGCATAGTATAAACACTGGGAAAGTTCAGTGGAGAGTTTTACTGAGTGAAGGGTAAGGCTTAATTGAAATGGAGAGCTTGGGGCATTGGTAAGATTTGGACAGATGGAGAAAATATCTCAGCTAAAAATGGCACAGAATGGAGTCAATCTGTTTTGGCTTAGAGCAGTGGTGGTGAACCCAAGACATGTATTATTTATTTTTCTATTTAGACAGAATATACTAATGTATTTTTTTTTCTGAACTAAAACCTTAGTATTCAGGTTTAATTGCAGTGTTGCCTCTTTTTGATAAAAAAGTGAATTTTGATTTGCAGTTTGGGTATTTATCTCTAAAAGGTTCACCATCACTGGCATAGAGGATACTGAAGAGATAGATTAGATTGGAAGAGAAAAGGATGATAGTCTTGGAATCCAGAGATCTGCATTTTTCTTACATTTCTGTCACCCTATGATCTTTTACATTTTGTTTCTGAATTTCTTTAGTGAAATGCCCCATTTAAAGAGTTGTGAGAATCAGATGTGATGTTTATGGAAGGGTTTTGAAGATCAAATGTATCATCTAATTAAACTTTAGTAATTTTTTTGTTGAGTAATGAGAGCATTGCCAAAGCATAGGAGCCAAGTTATAAGGGACAGTGACTGTAAAGTTCAAGAATATGGACTTGGAAAATATCAAATGCTTTCAATCAAGAAACTGATGTGATAAAATGGCATTATTGGAAAATGAACCTGGCACTTGAATATAGAACAGATTAGAGGGAGTTAATTGGAGGCAAGAATTTGGGTCCTATTTTTTCATAAAATCTACAGTTCTTTGTAATATAAATTATACTAAATGTTATCTTTGAAGAAAAGAAACAGAAAATGTACCTCTTTTTGTATGTCACCATATACTTTGTATAACTTTGTTTAATCATTTATTTTATAACATTTTAGGTATCTTTGGAATGGATAATTATTTGGTGTTGCTTTCATTTTTTTATACAAATCTTTTGAACTACTTTTAATTACACTTACCCATGAAGAGCCAGAAGAGGTGTACTTCACAGACTCTAAGCCAGGGAGTTAATGACAGCTAATGATCAGATTACTTGGAAGTAGGGTAGCAGCTTAGTGGTAGAAAACTTAACATGAGACTGGGTTTGATCCGCAGCACTGCCACCATCTCAAAAAAAAAAAGAAAAAATTAACTGGAAATGTTTTCTCCAGGCCCTACTTTCTACTTATGGAATAAGAATTTTAATAAGCATCTCAGGTAAAAAGACTTATAGTTGTTTAAGAGATTTTGGCACTAACAAGTTATACTAATGTATATAAAATAGTTCTTCAAAATCATTAATACTATTTGAAGTTAGACCTTTATGTTCTTTCACCACTTTTCATGTTTTCTGATTTTGAATTGTTGACTAAAGAGTTAAGATTTGATGTGCAGCTAGATTTGCCATAGTCTTCCAAATTGGTTTTGGCAAAAATATAATAATGTAAATAGTTGAATACAGTTGCAATAAATGGTCAACCAATACCTGTAGGGAATCCTGCTGCATAAAAATATATATCATGTATTTTAATATTTTTATTTGGCTTTGAAATTCTTTGGCAAATTTTCTAACTCCATGTAGGAGGTTGTTTTCAGAATTATTTAATTTATGCAGCGATGAGTTGAATTCCCACAAGTGTCAAGTGCTGAGACTTTTCAAGATCTGTGTAGAAAAACTGAAGCTCTCTCTTCACTTTTGTATTTATTAAAAACCTCTTAATTTTGCTGAAAATCATTTCTCCAGCCTGTGAAAAATGGAGATGAGACTATCCTAACTATTCAGAGTCGTTAAAAATTAGATACTTGTCAGTGGGCTTTTAAATTATAAAGTGTGATAGACATGCAAAACATTGTGTGGCTTTGCTACTTTTACCTTCTAGAGCAATATAAAACATACTTTTTATTTTTGGTCAAGCTAACTTAATCTTGTTTTCTAGATTGTTATTTTGTGTCAGTAAGTAATCCATAAAGTGCCAGCATGGGGAAGAAAAGGACAAAGGGAAAAACTGTTTCAGTTGATGATTCCTCTGAATCTTCAGGTATATTTCACTAATTGAATCTTTAACATTTATACCCCTAAATGGATATTTTAATATATAAAAATGGGATCAAAGTGTGTTTTGTTTTATAACCTCCATTTTAGTGTTATGTTGACATGTCATTTATTGGTCTTTTATAGCTTTTTTTTTTTTTTGGTACGGGGGGGGATCGAACTCGGGACCTTGTCCTTGCGAGGCAGGCAGCAGCACCACTGAGCTAAATCCCTGGCCCCCCAGTTCTTTTCTTGATACAGTATTTACTCAGTATCAGATTTTTATTGGCAACTTTAGCCTTCTCTTTGATGCTACTGTATGTTTTGTAGATTGTGATACATTAGTCAGCTGTGAGCTACTCAGACTGTGAGCTCTGTCAGAATGTGAGCTACTCAAAGAGAAGATGTGTGGCTTGGTCACTTTTAAGTTCCCTCGCATCTAGTTTGTTGCCTGGCCTGCAGTAGGTGTATTGTTGACTGACTGAAGAACCTTCTCTTCAACCCTTTTCAGATAAAGAAGATCAGAAATATGATAAATGACCTTACTTTAAAGAAAATAGCCAAATAAGTTGAAGTGAATTTATAGAAGTGATGGTCAAAATTTCATATCTGTATAAAATCTCTTTCTCAGAGGCCAGGGTTATAGATCAGTGGTAGAACATTTGCATGGCATGTGGAATGCCC